GCCCCGAAAACGTGTCCGACGAAATTGGTCCCGCCTCGGCCGGGAGTCGAACCCGGGCCCGGGACCGAGTCCCGTGGCTGTGGTGCGGGCCCTACTTGAGGGCGCCCCGGACTCCGGTAAGCGGCGGGGAATAAAGTCAATTTGACCCCCTCCCCTTCCCTCCCCTCTCCAGGCGCAAATCCAGTCGGGGAAAACGGAACGACGGTGGTGTTTTTTTTCTCCTTTCGTTTCTCTTTTTTTTTGTCAGTGTATAAAAGGGAGGACTGTGCCTCAAAGACCACCTCGGGCCCACAGAGTCGGCCGCGCCCATCTACCCTAGCCCTATTTACCTAGCCCGAGGCCAGCCCTAGGCCCTGGCAAAGAAACCCCCGCGAATGCAGCGTCAGGCCCAGTGTGTGTGCGCCCGCCGTTTTGCGTGTGTGTGCGTGCGTATTGCGTACCATTGCTGGAGAGGAGGGACACAAAAAAAAACAGAATATTCTCGCACTCTTGAGGGACTCCAGGACAAACTCCAGTGTATTGACGGTGACATTCCTGGAGCGACCTCAGCTAGGAACTGGATTTCCGTACGCTGGAGAGCTGTGTGTGCCGCTGCCTCTCTCTCACACACTCACAGGCACGCACGCACACAGTCACAGCGCCGCTGAAAGGAAATAGAAATGCGGATCTTGCGCGCTGATTCGGTAAAGGAGGAGCAGAAAAAGAGGAAGACAGAAATGAGTGTCATCTCCTTTTCTTGTTGCTGTTCCTTTTTTTTTTTCCTTTTTATTCGCGAGCGAGCGAGAGATATATCTGGTCGCCGTCACAGCCACAGATAGCCGCGCCGTATCGAGTGTGGTGGTTGTGCAGACTTGTTGAGCACCGCGGGCAGGCAGGCACGGCAGGCAAGACTTGTCAATAACAACCGGAAGAGTCCCGCGGCCCTGCGGACTGATGCCGAGCGGCAGGTCTCTCTGTCTCCCTCGCACTCATGGGCCGGAAGACCGGCGCAGGCGGCCAAAACTCTAGACGCGTTTTGAGCTCCAGAGTCGCTGAATGGGACTCGAACCGAACGTGTGACCCCACCAATGGATTGCTCTCCGAACGAGGAATCCATTGGTGGGGTCACACGTTCGGTTTGAGTCCCACTCAGCGACTCTGGAGCTCAAAACGCGTCCCACCCTCATGCTTCATTCGAGTCATATTTTAGGGTGGGGAGGCTCGAAAGCTGCGGCCCGAACGTCTGCCGAGCGCCGCGCGCTGACAACAAACTTCGTTATGTGTGTCTGTCCGCCTGTCTGTCTGTCTGTCGAACGCACCCCGTTCCCGCAGCCGGCTCCGCTCGACCGCTCCGAAGAAACAATACAAATTGAGATTTATTGGAGCGAGGCTTCATTTTTTGTTGAGTGATAACTGCAGCCAGGCGCGGCCCGCCGAGCGCACCCCTGCTGCCCAATCACACCTTCCTTAATTGTCTCTCTTGTGTTTGCCGGGGTTGGCGGCCCTGACGGGGGTGCGGGTGCGGCACCCCTCGCTCGGCCAATGGCTTGATTCGGCGTCCCTGCTGTGCCGAGTTGGCGAGTTGGGGGCTTCAAGGTTTCGGGGTTCAAGGTTAGGGCGACCTGCAGAACACAGGCCAAAACTCCAGACGCGTTTTGAGCTCCAGAGTCGCTAAATGGGACTCGAACCGAACGTGTGACCCCACCAATGGATTGCTCGTTCGGAGAGCAATCCATAGGTGGGGTCACACGTGCGGTTCGAGCCCTGTTTAGCGACTCTGGAGCTCAAAACGCGTCCGGGATTTTGGCCGCCGGCACCGGTCTTCTGGCCCACTGTGCCCTGGGGGCTGAAAATGGAGCCGGTTCGGCGTTCAAAGGGGTTGGTGCGGGCTCAAGTGGGGTCGCCGTGTCGGCCTGCCGGTTGCTGGGGCCCAGGCGGGGCCCAGGGCGTTGCCTGCAAGTGGCGCGGCGGGCTCGCCGGCCACGGAGTCTGAGAGGGCTTTCCACCCGTCCCACCCCCACCACCCCCCGGCCAGCCACCCCCCGCCGGCCGGCTCAGCATACACCCAGCACGGACAGAGACGGCGACGGTTTTCCTGTTTGGATCGCGGGGTTTGAGAGCCGCTGTCTCTCTCGCACTCATTGAGCCTCGCCGGTGCGCGCTGGTGCGAGAGAGAGAGAGAGAGAGAGAGAGAGAGAGAGAGAGAGAGAGAGAGAGAGAGAGAGAGAGAGAGAGAGAGAGAGAGAGAGAGAGACAGAGAGAGAGAGAGAGACAGCGTCCGCCCCAGGGGGTGGTTTCTAAAAAAGTGCGGCTGGCCGCGCCCTGTTACGGTGTAGTGGCTTTCAATAATTGGCGGCTGGCAGTGTCTGTATCGCCGCCCCGTATCATCCCCTGCCTGGAGACCGACTCCGAGAGTCGTCGCTCTGTCTCTCTCTCTCTCTCTCTCGCACGCACGGGGCGCCCCGTGTGGGTGCGAGAGAGACAGAGCGACGACTCTCGGAATCAGTCGACTGCACCCCATTCGAGCTCATCCTCGCCTTCTACCTGAGCGCACCGCACAGCCACTTCTCGTTATTGCGTGTAATGGTCCCCTCGGCGGCCTCCCCCTCCCCTCCCCCTCCACAGTCCCTGATGGAATCAGATAGTAATCTTGACGGTGAGAATGGCCGAAGCGCACTCCCGGATCGCGTTGCGAATCTCCTTCGTTGTGTCTCTCTGCTTTGCGGCCCGGAGCGCTCTGTCTCTCTCGCACTCGCGGGGGCCGCCGTCTGGGTGCGAGAGAGACAGAGCGACAGTGCCGCCCGGGGCGCTAAATGGGAAAGCCGGATGAGAGCGGGGCGCGCGGGGCGCCTGATGATTCCGAAGGATTGTCTGTCTCTCCCGCACCTGCACGTGGTGCTCCGCGAGAGAGACGGAGGGACGAAACAGGCGCCTGGCGGAAACAAAAAAGGGCGCGGGAATAGTAGTGGACTTAAACGAGTTCGTGCTGTCCGTCCTCTCTCTGTCTCTCTCGCACGCACGCGTAAGTACACGTCTCTCGCTCATATTTTCGCCCGCCAAGTTGTCTGTCTGGCCCCAGACGGGCCGCCCCACCCCGCCACGCCACCCTAATGGTGGTCGGAGCGCAAATCCACCCGCCGCCGCGCCGAGCTCACTTTCGCAAGCCTTTTTTTTTCTCGTTCCGTCTCGTCTGCCCGCGCTGATGATTAGGTTTTACGGGCCGCTGAGGTGAGAGTGAAATTCGGGGCCGTCGAACGGCGGCGCGGTGCGGGGGTTGTTTTGCGCGCCGACCGAATTCGAGGAATGTGAAGGGGACGCCACCACACTGTACTATTGTGTTACAGTGTAGCCGGGGCACTGATCCTCCATCCTCCCGCCCCGCCATCGCCAGCCACGCATGCCTTTACCCTTCACCAACGGCAGCAGCAGACTGATTCCGAGAGTCGTTTTCGTCGCTCTGTCTCTGTCGCACTCACATCGCCGCTTTCCGCCATCCGCCACCTGCCGCCACCTTGGTGGCCGCCACACCGGCAGCGCACCCTTTTCCCTCGGCGTTGGCGGCCCACTGCGCACCCCCTCCGGCCCGCCGGCTTCGACCGGATCCACTGCGAAATGTCACCCTCTCTCTCCCTCTTTCCCTCTTTGCCTCGCCGCCGTGCCGATCATAAAACCAGACGCCGTGGCATAAACGAGTCATACGCCTTCGCGCCGCCGCGCCGCCACGGCGGGCTCGGAGTAAAAATGCTAAATGGTCTTTTCCTCCGCCGGCGCAGGTTTCGTTCCATTCGACTTTCGACTTTAGATTTGCTTTCCGGCCGCCGACCGCGACACCGTATTATTTCACAGTGAGCGTCGCACTTCGCCCTTTTATTTTGGCTTTGGCCGCCCCTTAACCCTTTTGGCCCGCCTGGCCCCGCCTGGCGCGGCCGGCTCCCTGCGGACGAATCAAGTGGCTCTAACTCCGGGCGGGGCGGGGCGGGGCGGGGCGGGGCGGGGCGGGGCGGGGCGGGGCGGGGCGGGGCTCCGGGCGCGTCTGACGGCACGGCACTTTGGGGCTACCGTCCCGGCCGTGCCGGCGCGGCCCGTACACCACACTGTACAGCAGCTTGACGCCCTGCGACCGGCTCGCCCTCTGGAGTGAGTCACTCCAGGGAGGAGCGCCGACTGCGAGTCTCTCTCTCGCACTCGCGGCGCGTCCCTGGCCGGTGCGAGAGAGAGACACGCCGAGTGCCCGCGGTCTGACCTTCCAGTGTCGCGGAGCGTCGCGCTGGGGAATTAAATATCTGCGCCGTTGTCTGCGTGCTTTGAGCGGTGAGAGTGCGCGGGGCTATCTCTCTCTCTCTCTCTCGCACCGCCGCGGCGCGCCCCGTGAGTGCGAGAGAGACGGCGCGAGCGGGCTGACAATGGCGGCTTGCGGGGCTTGCGGTGATTGGTAGGGGTTCCACGTACCGCGGCCTTGGGGCCGGCCGGGCTGGCAGGCCGGGCCAGACGGCCTGCAGGCGAAGAGGGTGGAGGAGCCTGAGCCTCTTAGGCGGCGTGCTGCGTGCTCGAACCGCCACCGCCAAGGCCGCCAAGGTTGAGACGCAGGACGGACGACGCCCTTCCAGCCGCCCCTCCAGCCGCCCCTCCAGCCGCCCCTCCAGCCGCCCCTCCAGCCGCCCCTCCAGCCGCCCTTCCAGCCGCCCCTCCAGCCGCCCCTCCAGCCGCCCCTCCAGCCGCCCCTCCAGCCGCCCTTCCAGCCGCCCCTCCAGCCGCCCCTCCAGCCGCCCCTCCAGCCGCCCCTCCAGCCGTCCCTCCAGCCGCCCCTCCAGCCGCCCCTCCAGCCGCCCTTCCAGCGCCCCCATTGAGCCGGTTTGCCGGTTTCGGGCCATTGAAACCCCGCCACAGCCACAGTCGACGCGCCCCCTCCCCCTCCCCGCGGGGGTCGTTGACGCGTAGCCGCGCGCCGAAGTCCCTCGGGATGGCGTCCGAGGCCGCGGCCGCGAGGAGAGCTCTCTGACCGTGGCGTTCCTCTGTTGCAGGTGCTCGCTGCGCGCCGACTGCCAGGACGCGGCGCAGGACCCGCTGTACTGGATCTCCTACAAGAGCGGCCGGTGCACCTCCATCACCAGCGTCACGCCCAACCAGCTGCAGCGCACCACTGCCAGGACGGTAAGCGTCGCATGCATCGCGGCGCCAAAAAGCCGCCCCTCGGTGTTCGAACCCTGGACCGTGCTAACCACGCGTCTTTTCTCCGTTCCGCAGCTGGAGCTCGCCATCGACCACCTGCCCACGCTGCCGGGTCAGTTCCTGTGCGCCTTCACGGCGCTGGACAAGACCCTCATCAGCAACGCCACCAGGAAGTCGCCGGGCATCAACTGCACCACGCCGCGCACCGACCTCCTGCCGTCCATCCCGCCGGGCCAGCGTGAGTACACTGTACACTGCCTTGACGCACGCCGTCTCTGTCGCACTCGTGGCTGCCCTGGCTGCCCCGCTGCGGTGCGAGAGAGACAGCGCGACGCGGGACGCCTGCTGGGTAGGCCGCCCGGCGCGCTGCCCTGTCTGACGGGCGGGTATCGCCGCAGCGACAGGCGGTGGGGGAGGGGGGGGGGAGCCGAGGGCGAGGGCCTAGGGCTAGGGCGCGAGGGACGGGACACTGATTCTCCTTCTCCTTCGCCCCGGCCCGGCCCGGCGTTTGTCCAGATGAACCCGCCCTAAACTTGGAGGGCAAACTTTGATTTGAGATGGCTCTGGGCGATAGGCTGGGTCCCCGGTCCTCATTGGCATGCTGCATGGGCCTGGCGGCCTGGCTCTGGCCGAGGGGCGGGGCAGGGGTGGACTCAGATCCGAACGGACTTGTCGGAAGGACGACCAGGTGGTAAAACAGTGGGCCGGGCCTGGGGCCAGGCCGATCGGGCAGGGGAGTCCTTCGCAGGGTCCCAGGGGGCCCGGACATAAATGTCACTTTATGGGGGAGGTCCTGTAAAGTAGCCAAGTGCGCGACCGAGCGCAGCGAGACAGCGCGAAGCGGAAAGGGGAGGGGGGGAGGGGGGGGGGTAAGCGACTGACTCTGGGTTCGGGGGGGTTCGGGGTTTGCGAGCGCGCCGTGGCCCTGGCTAATGGCTTGTCCTCTTTGCGTCCCTTTGCAGACCACTTCACTGCCAAGCTGTCCGTGCGCATGACCTCGGGGCCCGACTTCGTCGCCACCAACTTCACCTTCTTCGACTGCAACACGTACATCTCGTGCACGCAGTGCGTGTCCTCCTCCTTCCCCTGCGACTGGTGCGTGGACGGCCACAGGTGCACCCACGACACTGCCGAGAACTGCCGCAACGACATCCTGGTCACTGGAGTCAGCGTAAGTGTTCATTCCCTCAAAGCGCTCTCGGCCTGTGAGTGGGACCTTGGCCTCATTGCTCGTCATTTGTGTTACAGCGGATTGGACCTAGCTACCGCAGTGGCCCTGCCTTCTGCCCCACCCTCAACGCAACCGCTGGGGGCTCCACTGAAATCCTCGTTCCGTCTGGAATCAAGAAGAGCATCAAAGTCAAAGTTCACATCATCGGACAGTTTATCGTTCAGACTCGCTTTGTGTGTCAGTTCAACATTGAAGGACGAGTGACCAGTGTCAATGCCCAGTTGCTGGCAGACACCATCTACTGTGATCATATGGAATTCTCATACACGTCTCGTGCCCCCAATATAACTGCTACATTTGCTGTTATCTGGGGAGGGTCAAAGCCTCTGGACAACCCAGACAATATTCATGGTATGTTCCAGTTGTTTCATTGCAACTCTCTATAAATTATCCCGTGTCACTTTTTAATTCATGCTTTGCTTTTTGCAGTTGTGATCTACCGATGCAGGGACATGGCAGACAATTGTGGAATGTGTCATGCCCTCCATGAGAAGTATGGCTGCGGCTGGTGCCAGAGTTTGGACCGGTGTGAAGTCAAGGAGCAGTGTGACCCCGGAACGAATGGGCCTCGCCCCTGGCTGGACAGCAACCAAACCTGCCCTCAAGTCGAGATCAAAGAATTCTTCCCGATGCTTGGGCCTTGGGAAGGAGGCACGAACATTACCATTCGAGGCGTTAACTTGGGCAAGAGCTATGACGACATTTACGGAACTGTATGTATCTTGACTGGTAATTTTGTTTCCGATAAATATTTTGTTCAGAATGATCATAATTAACCCTGTTTGTTTTGTTTCTTTACAGATTAATGTGGCAGGTTTGCAGTGTCAGCCTTACCAGCAACTCTACATCAAAACTCAGCAGATTGTCTGCAAGGTTGATGGACCTGGTTCCAACGAACCCAGAGAAGGGCCTGTCATTGTGCGAGTGCAAGGTTTCAGAGGGGAGTCGAAACATCAATTTGCATTTGTTGACCCTGCCATTGAAGGAATCTCGCCCAAGTTTGGTCCCAGGTCTGGAGGCACCACACTGAGAATCATGGGCAAATTCATGAATGCAGGCAGTCTGATTGAAGCCTTCATTGACGATTTGCCATGCAGAATTATTAAGACTGATCCAGAAGAGGCTCGATGCATTACAAGTGCTTCTGAAAGACAACGCAATGGGCGACTGAAAATGCAGTTTGACAATGGAAAGCGATACTTTGACAAAGAGCAGTTTGAGTATGTAGAAGACCCTACAATTGAATCAGCTGAATCTGGCGTGGCTGGGCAGTTGAAACTTCCTAAAGGCATTCCTGCTGGTGGCATTAAAATATCAGTCTCAGGAAAGAACTTGGCATACATAGAGAACCCTCAAATTTATGCATATTATGATGATAAAATGTTCATTGGGCAATGCTCTGTTCTTTCTAACTCAAACATGGCATGTGACTCTCCCACCATTATTCTACGAGAAGGAGTTGTCATTGATGCTGAGTACCCTCAACGGCTTGAATTTGGTTTCAAGATGGATGATGTAGCTGGTGTGAGGAATTTGACTCGTTACAACTTCTCGCACTTCCACTTGTATCCCAACCCAATCTATGAAAAGTTTGAGGAGGATCCAAAGTATTACAAAAGTGATTATTTGACCATCAATGGACAGCACTTGGATCGTGCTTGTCAAGAAACAGATGTTGTTGTCAAGATTGGTAACGAGTCTTGCAATGTCACATCTTTGTCAAGGCAACAGTTAACGTGCCGTCCACCCATGGTCCAGCCACTACCAGTTGATGAACATGGCCATCCCACACAGAGTGCCTACCCTGAAGTTGTTGTAAGTATTTTACTTGCATTCACATTTGCCTGAATACGGTCTAAATGTTAGCTCTAATTAAACAATTTTTGCCCCAGGTCATTGTTGGTGGAAGACTTCGGTACAACATCGGAAAGCTCAGCTACTCTCCTAGTGGACTCAATGGGCCTCCTACCAAGACCGCTATTATCATCATCTCTGTTGTCAGTGTTTTGTTGATCGTTCTCTTCTTCTTCTTTGTTGTGGCCTACAAGAGGAAGTCAAGTGAATCCAACCGTGTACTCAAGAACATGCAGGAACAAATGGATATCCTAGAGCTGCGTGTTGCTGCAGAATGTAAAGAAGGTAAGAACCTAATTTTAAGAGGGCTCTTAAAAGGCTCCTCCATTTTTTTTCTCTGTAATATGACTGCATTTGTGTATAATTGTAACTAACTTGTTTGTCTTTATTTTGTAGCGTTTGCGGAGCTTCAAACTGAAATGACTGACCTTACCGGTGACCTTACACTAGGTGGTATTCCATTCTTGGATTACCGAACCTATGCCATGAAAATTCTGTTCCCCAATATGGACGACCATGCTGTACTTCAATGGGAGCGACCAGAATTGCACAGGAAGGAAAAGGGTCTACGTTTGTTTGGACAGCTCATCATGAACAAGACATTCCTTCTGCTGTTCATCCGAACGCTTGAGAGCAACAGATACTTCTCAATGAGAGACAGAGTAAACGTTGCATCACTGATAATGGTAACTCTGCAGAGCAAGATGGAGTATTGCACAGACATTCTGAAGACTCTCCTTGCGGAACTCATTGAAAAATGTATGGAAGGAAAGAGCCACCCTAAACTTCTTCTCCGTCGAACTGAGAGTGTCGCTGAGAAAATGCTGTCAGCTTGGTTCACATTCTTGCTTTACAAGTTCCTCCGTGAGTGTGCAGGAGAGCCTCTTTACATGCTGTTCCGTGCAGTCAAGTACCAGGTGGATAAGGGTCCAGTTGACGCTGTCTCCTCTGAAGCTCGTTATTCATTGAGTGAAGAAAAATTGATTCGTCAGTCAATTGATTTCAGAGTCATTGTAAGTGATTACCTTGTGAACCAATCCTTTCATTTTCCTCCCATCCTTATTCTGTGTTCTAATGACTGTTTGTTTTGTTTTACAGACGGTGTATGTATCAATTTCTCAGCAGGCTGTCTTTGTCACTGGGCTAGATCCAAACACCGAAAACGTAATAGTGAAGGTTTTGGATTGTGACACCATTTCCCAAGTGAAGGACAAAGCTTTAGACACAATTTACCGAGCCATACCATATTCTCAACGGCCGAGACGTGAGGACCTTGACTTGGAATGGAGGACAGGAACTTCTGGACGACTTATCCTTTATGATGAGGATGCAACTACCAGACAGGAGGGAGAGTGGAAGAAGAGGAATACCCTGAATCACTATAGAGTACGTGACCTTCTTTGAATGTAATCAGGAAGTGGCTGCATTAATCCATGCAACCTGTAATCATCATCTATTTTCACATCTCTAATTAATTTATACTTTATTTGTGTCCTCAACAGGTGCCTGATGGTGCTCATTTAAGTCTAGTCTCAAAACAATCATCCATCTATAATTTGTCTATTCTATCAGAGAAGCCAGATAAGTCTCACAAGTATGAGACTTTGAATCTCTCTAAATTTAGTTCTCAAAGTCCACCTCTTAGTCGTGCGACTTCACCATTAAATAATGACCACGACAGTGGCCTTAAGGTATGTATAGTTGAGCTTTTCTTTGGCATTCATCCCTCTTTTGGCATTTTTTTTTTCCCCCTTTTTTTGTTTGTATTAATATTGGTCATATTTTACTCCTGTTTTTTCTACAGACATGGCATTTAGTCAAGCATCATGACACTGATGCTCAGAAAGAAGGAGAGAGAGGAAACAAGATGGTGTCAGAAATTTATCTTACCAGATTATTGGCAACCAAAGTAAGTCCTACACACTTCCATTTTTATTTATTCATCTATAAATAAATTTATTTATTTATTTATTTATTTATCTGCCTCTAACTTACAATGACTTAATCTTTGTTTTCTGCTTATGTGAACAGGGCACCCTTCAAAAGTTTGTGGATGACTTGTTCGAGACAATATTTAGTACCGCCCACCGAGGATCTGCTCTCCCTCTGGCAATCAAATACATGTTTGATTTCTTAGATGACCAAGCCCTACAGCATGGAATCTCAGACCCAGAGGTTGTTCACACATGGAAGAGCAATAGGTAAATTTCTTATTAACTCAATCTCCTATTTGTTTTTATGTTTTGTCCTGTGCTCAAGTAATTTATGTATGCATTCCTCTCATTTTTCTAGCTTACCACTCCGGTTTTGGGTGAATCTAATTAAGAATCCTAACTTTGTGTTTGATATTTACAAGTCAAACATTGTGGATTCATGTCTATCAGTTGTCGCTCAGACATTCATGGACTCGTGTTCCACTTCAGATCACAGGCTTGGTAGGTTCATTCAGATTGTTGCATTGATCATGCCTCACAAACAATTTTTCTGACAAAAGTCTTACCTTATTTTTGCGGTTTCTTACAGGCAAGGACTCTCCTAGTTCCAAGCTGTTGTATGCTAAGGACATTCCTATCTACAAGGAGTGGGTCGAAAGGTATTATGGTGACATTAAAATGATGCCAGCAATATCTGACCAGGACATGAACGCCATGCTTGCAGAAGAGTCAAGGGTATGTAACAAACTTTGTGTCACTCTTGTTTCTTATGATATGATTTACTTAATTGCAAACATTAAAATAAAATATTGTTTTTCAGATACACACTCAAGAATTTAACACGAATTGTGCTCTACATGAGCTGTACACCTATGCCATAAAATATAATGAACAACTCACTGTAACACTGGAAGAGGACGAGTTCTCCCAGAAGCAGAGATTGGCCTACAAATTTGAGCAAGTGCACAACATCATGGCAGCGGAGTCGAACCCCTGATGGCGACCTAGCCCCGGGCTGGGGCCGCAGTCTAACACCGCCACGCTGGAACTGCGCTGCTAAGCCTGGGGCGCGAAGCGTCCTCCCCCCTGCATCTGAGCATCGACTGTGTCATTGAAACCAGTGTTAATCTCAGTGCGTGTCCCCACACCTCTCTGGAGCGGTGGGTGTTTACAGTATGCTGTTCCACTATCAAACTGAAATTCTCAGCAACAGCTTTAAAGTACAAACATATTGATGAATAGATGTGGACAGTGTGCTTTCTATTGTCGTCCAAATACATTGACGTGGCAATGTATATTTTGCTCAATCGTTGTTAAAGTTGCAATCAGGACACTTTCCAGGAGTGCCTGGACGTGCGTGTGATGACGTGTGCAGAGCAACAGACATGGATGCGATGCGTTGAGGCGAACTTGCCATAATTGTGTTGTGTGATTCATCCCAGTATCACAAACTGTGTAGGATTGACTCTCTCTATCAGCTTGATCTTTTAATGCAATATATGCGGAACATTATCATTTTTTACTGTCTCTCACTACTTCCCTTTCTAAATTAAATGTTAATGTCTTCCAAGCCTTGCATCCTTCCTCTTTCCATTCATTCATTCCATTAATGAATATGTGTGTGTAGCTAGCAATAAAACTAAGCTGCCGTAATCAAAATGAAGATTTGACTGAAGTATGCAATGTGCATGAACAAACTTGTCTCTCAATTCTTGGTTGTGTTTCTTTATCCTTAGGGGTGTGCAAGCTTTTGTGTGTTACACTTATTAATTTCACTTATCGGCTAGATATTATGTTTGACTGTGTAGTCTGCCATAAGTTTTTAAATTCATAACTCATTGGATAGTAAATGTGACAGAACTCTGATGAGAAAGCTTTGATAACAATTTTTCATCAGCGTTTTGTAGAAGTAGTCGTTGCTCAAGTCAAATGTAAGACGCTATGACTGGTGCCCTTTGCTTGTTTTTTTTTTTACCTCTGTTGTTTATCTATATTAATTTACTACTCAAGTATTATGATCTGGTGTATGCCATCCAAATGCATTTTACACTCATTGCAATTTCAACATTCCAGTGTAATTCTGAGTGTGTGTGTTCATATGTATGCAAGAATGTTACGCTTATTGGGAGACATTTTTTATATACCTTAGTCAATACAAGTATTTCTCATTCAATCTGCCAGATAAAATACTTTGTGAAAATGTAGATATGTGTGTAGTAAATGTTATGTAATATCAGGCCAAAGGGCATTAGTCATAAGGATCTTTGTGATTGTCTCATTAAGCAGAAAATGCTCTACAAAAATTAATACTATCTGTTAATACTCAAGCTACGCATCTGTGTGTCTTTGGCAAATGATGTCAAGTTTTGCACACCCTTTCCTTCTCCTGTATTAAGTGTTGACCAATAAGGCCACTGTGTGTATTTGTGTAATTGATATGTCCCCCGTCCCTGTGTAGTAGCGCCCAGCTGTAGCTGCGGAATCAATGTTTTAATGTTCCAAAGGTGTGGAGCAAAGGGATATATGCATATCCTGTGTCTCTGTAACCTTTTGTATCTACCAAAGTTATCAATATGTATCCTCAATTTTATGCTTTTTAAAACTTTCATTTTGAGATTAAGCCATACCTGGCCCATATAAAATACTCCAATAATTTTTATTTCCTGTGGAACACAACCGATATGCTGATTGTATCATTAAGACTGGATATTTTTAGTTATTTCAAATTTTAATGAAATGTGATTAACATGATGTGTGACAAATTGTCAAGGGAGGTCACGTCATTCAACAATCCTATTGAAAATACAGCTATATAATGTATTACTTCTGTAAATATATTTTGTTTTTAACTTTAGTTGTTAAATGTCGTGGATCTATTGTATGAGCTTTTATTACCTGTTTGAATGAGTGGATCTCCCAAATCATCACATGAACATTGTTTTATCCTGTCAGTGTTTGAGTATGCTCAGTGTTTTGTCACTATAAAGGAAAGCAATTTTTCATGTAGTACGTTTTTTATTTCATACCATTCCCATAAATGCACTTTAGACTGACTGTAGAGCTCAACAACCAACACGGGAAAAGTCATTTTCACACCAAATAAAATGTGTCAAAGATCACTTGGCATACATCATGGTTTTTTACCGTTTCGGGACAAAGTTAAAAATAGACCAAATTCATTCATAGGTAGGCAACCACAGGTCCACGCCGCTCCAGAGCTCGACTGGCGTCATGGTGCAAGTAATTTTCACGCGTTAGCGCCCGGGGGTTCGCAGGTGAAATGAATGTAGAATAATGCCTTTAGGTTCAGTTTAATTTACAGGATTTGTTAAATAGAACATAATCAACTTACAAAAATACACGTCCACTTAAAATAATTATTTTGTACTAGATACACTAGGCTTAGTCTATCGTCTACGATGATATAAATAAATAATATGCATTCTTGACAGCTTCTGCTTACAGGGTTGACTTAGAATAATGGACTTCTAGTTTAATTACTGGAAGCTAATTGGCATAATTTCATATGCGTTATAGAGATGAGGAAAAACACAAATTCATTGGTCATGAATTAAAATCCTCACCATAAAATTCAAAAAGTATGTTAAAGGAAGAATCTTTTGACTCATCAATTTATCAAAATTAACATTCTAATATCACTGTGTGTGACCAGCACATTTTATGATAAAATTCAGCATAGCACCTTCCATCATGGAAAAAAATTTAAATATTAAACAGAAATTCTGTTAGTATGATCTAATACCCACAAAAGTGAAAAGGTATTCACAAGGTAAAGAGAGAATACTGTACATAGAGGAAAACTACAATAAAATGAGCATGGATCTGTTGGATGATAACATCATGAATGAAATAGTACAGGGCAGCACTTCCCATAAAACAGCTCCTGATAAACAGAGATATTTGTTTTTTGAAAAAGTGTTTGAATGGGAAAGGGCCTACTTTACATCTGACTCCAAAACAACAAAAATGGCTTCTTACAGTAGTAACACATCACAGCATAATCTTTTTTGTTTTAAAACCGATAAATTAGACAACTATGTTTTAGATAGCATTGAAATTAATTCACTCATACATTCACACATCCTTCGTTTCCCCGATCACTCTCACACTCATTCAATCATGCTTTCATTCATTAATACATATTAGTAAAACAATAAAAAATAACAATTAAAACACACACTATTTCTTCACATGACAAGAGCAAGCATCAAGGTAGTAGACCTTTGGGAAATACTCCTATTTCATCACAGCCAACGAAATCGTTGTTGGAAAGCACACAGCGACATTTCCGACTAGCTCAGAGAGAGAGTAGCCGCAGTGCTGACGTTTCCGTCCATCCATCCCGCTTTCAACACCAAGTGCCAAAGAGTGGTAACCACGGCTCGAATACTGGGGGAGTTTCGCCGCACACAGGGTGGGAGTGACGTCATCGACTCGCGTGAACGAAGTCGGCAAAGACTTGGCACGGGGCGCGTGCAGCAGCGCCTTAGTACAGCGGCAGCTCGCACAGCTTGTTGTGCACGGCGATGGCGGCGATGGCGGAGGCGGAGATGCCGATGGCGTCGCCCACCGAGGACATGGCCATCGAGAACTCCCTCTTCTCGGGCGCGACCTGCGGGCAGTCACGGAGACGGTGGCGGTGAGTTCACGCCCTACGCACAGTGGATTTGCCGGAGGACCGGTGGAGGCAACCAAAACTCTAGCCGCGTTTTGAGCTCCAGAGTCGCTAAATGGGACTCGAACCGAACGTGTGACCCCACCAATGGTTTCCTCGTTCGGAGAGCAATCCATTGGTGGGGTCACACGTTCGGTTCGAGTCCCATTTAGCGACTCTGGAGCTCAAAACGCGTCTGGAGTTTTGGCCACCTCCACCGGTGTGCTGGCCCACTGTGCAACGGCAAGCCCTTGGCTGGGGCTAGCTGGGGCCGCGGAGCCCCTGCGATGCTCAGGGTGGGCCGGCCCGCAACACAGCCCTGTGCCCCGATTGCCTAACCGCCAGGCGTTCAGGAGGCTCCACACTCCGCGCCTCACTTACCTCCTTCGAGATGTAGAAGTACGTGTTGACGTAGGCGCCCCCTCCCAGTAGTCCCTCCAGCAACACCATGGCCGCCACGACCCAGGCCGAGCTGGAGAAGCCGTAGATGGCCTCCAGGGTGAAGTATATCACGTTCACGCCCTGGGCACACGGACACAGGTTAGGTTAGGTTAGGTTAGGTTAGGTTAGGTTAGGTTAGGTTAGTCTTTAGAGAGTGCTGCTTACCTGCAGGGCGGACAGGATCCAGATCTTCTGGATGTGGATGTAGCTGCCCGACGAGCGGGAGATGAACACGCCGACCTGGTACACGACCTGGAAGACCTCGTAGGCGTGGGTGACGCCGGGCAGAGTGGGGTAGTGGATCAGCTCGTACTGCGGGGGAAAAAAACAACACCGTTACGACAAGGCGGCGAGAATCGAACACGCGGCCGCCGCACTAAGCGCAGCGTCGCTACCACCGCGGCCGCCGAGGCGGGTGTGGATGCTCACCAAGCCCTGGTTGATGAAGTACTCGAAGAAGTACACGAGCGTGAGCGGCACGATGTACTTGAGCAGTGGCGGCACGTCGCGCAGCTTGTCCACGAAGGAGGCCCTGGTGGCCGACACCGGCACGTCGTCGTGCACCTTGACGATGACGGGCTTCTCGCCCGAGGCCACGGGCTCGTCGTCGGCGCTGTCCAGGCGGGGGTGCACCATCAGCACCCAGAACCTGTCGGCACAACACGTATTACTACTGCGCCAAGTCGGTCTCCGCATCGCCGCCTTGCAGTGCGGGACTCACGTGAGGGCCATGATGAAGGGCACCACGGTCATGACGAGCAGCGTGTCCCTGGGACTCAGCACCAGCTTGAGCAGCAGGAAGGAGGCCGCGCCCAGCACGCCGGCGCCGCCCGTGCCCGACGACCACATGGTGATGACCGTCCTGGAGGAAGGCGAGAGCGTTACTACGACACACATTGGGCAAGACCAGCGGAGGCGGCCGAAATCCCGGACGGGCGACTTACTTGTCCTTGAAGAAGGCGGTGTAGGCCAGCAGGGACACCTCACCGAGGCCCGAGGCGATGGACATGCACACCACGCCCGTGAGCACCACCCAGAGCTGCTGCGCCATCGCCACCAACACGAAGCCCGCCAAGTTCAACACGATCACGGCGGACATGCGCGTGCTAAAATAAAATCAAGTCAAAAGTTAGTTGGTTTCATTCAAGAAAATTGTAGAGTGTACACACAGAGGACAGCCAGGAACTTACTGTATCCAGAGCGGGAAGAACGGGGAGATGAACTTGATGAAGAGACTGGGCAGGATGTCGGCGAGGAGGATGGCCCCGGTGGAGAGTTCGTTACACTCTCGGGGGCCGGGGATTTTTTGCGCCTGTGAAGTCAGATCACTCATCGTTAACAAATTTATTCGCATCGATTTGGAGGGTTGGAAAATGCCAGCAATTTGAGCGTGGGCCGGTGGAGCCGAACAAAATCCCGGACGCGTTTTGAGCTCTAGAGTCGGTGAGTGGGACTCGAACCGGACATGTGATCCCACCAATGGATTGCTCTCCGAACGAGGAGTCCATTGGTGGGGTCCCACGTTCGGTTCGAGTCCCATTTAGCGAGCTCTGCGCACGCGTCTAGAGTTTTGGCCGCCTGCGCCGGTCTTCCGGCCCACTGTGCGGCGGCGCCAAGCCTACGTCGGGGAGGAAGCTGCTGTCCAGGATGGTGGTGGCGGCGGAGAGCATGATGACGTAGCCATAGTTGTTGCACAGCCCCAAGATCCAGTAGGCGGAGAGGATGCGGCGGCGCGCGCTGGGCGTCGACAGGTGGCTGGCACTGCCCACCAGGGCCGAGGTGGAGGCGGCGGAGGCCGAGTTGGGGATGGGCGCCCCGGAGGCCCGCTTCGGGTCTGCAGGGACAGAAGGCATTCGAGTCAGGACGAGTGGCCATCTCAAAGGCATCGGAGGCACTGCGGCCAACTGGCGGCGTTCGCACGGCGCGCTGCATGTTTGCACAAGTGTGGGAAAAAATGTCACGATCGGCTGATTCCGTTATGAGCTTCTGTCTGTGAGTGTGTTCGTGAGACCAGTCGCAGGCATCGGCTCAAATTGCTTCTGACCAACGACTGACCAAGGGAATTCCCCAGTCGCAAATTTACGGCAGGTTTGCGGGAAAATTCAAAAAACCGTCCGAAACAAAACTCAGCTGCCCTCGTCAATATTTTGGGTAGAAAAAATTACAAAATTAGCAAATTTGCGAAAAGAAAAGATTTCAAAATAGTCGTTTCTACCACTGAGTCGGAATAACAGAGGCCTCGGAAAGGTGGGCGCGCCGCCACACTAGAAGTCCAGCCGACGCGATAGCAAATTTTACGAGTCTACCTGCCACCGATTGTCGGCGTGGCGTGGCATGGCGTGCCGTGCCCGTGACCAATCAGAGGCGGTGGCGTGGGCAGCGGCAGGCAAACGCCAAAATGACGAGGAATTCACCCGGCACGGCACGGCACTACCCCGCGCGCCAGGGATTCCTAACTATTTACAGCAGACTCGGCAGCCGGAGTGACCACGAAAATAACGAGAAATTCGTCCTGCAGAGCACGGCACGGCACTACCCCGCGCGTCAGGGGCCTCTGGAACTACCATTTACACTGACCGACACCGACTTGGCGATACCCCGCGCGCCAGGGTCCTCTGGATTCACCATTTACACCGACTTGGCACTACCCCGCGCGCCAGGGACTCACACCTGTCGCGTTGTAGACTCGACGCGTGGTCCTCCGCTCCAGGGCCATGCCTTTTCCCTTTCGCCAGTGGTGGCACAAGAGCCCCAACGAAATTAATAAAAAGAAAACAGAGAACGAGAGAGCTCGAGCGAGCGACTGCCGCGAGAGAGCGCCCTACCCCCAGCCTAGCACCCCTCCGCTGCTTCGCGGCACCAACCCCCGCGAGGCCCCGTCGCCGATACCACTGCCCGATAAGCCCTTTCGGACGACGCAGGGTATCGAACAGCAGTCGCACTGCCCTATCATTTTCACAACACACTTGCCATCATTTTTTCGAGTTTGTTTATACTCGATTACAAAAAAAAAATTGGCCAAAATACCGCAGCGAGTGCACCGACATATGGCCGGTGTGTACACTGTACGCGACGCGATAAAGAACTCGCAGTGCACCGGCACTCACGCAGTGTGCCGGCAGAGTCGCCATGACGGCGCAGGCGGTAAAAGCGTAAAAAAGCGTCATCGCACGCGAAGATCGAAAGAGGCGTGACTGAGACTGTCTGGTGTCGAGAGACAGCGTTCCAATTCAAAACACCACCAAAAACACTGTCGCAGAAAGCAGAAATGCGGAGCACTCCAGCAAACGACGCACTGGACAGACGACACACACACACACACTCGCACTAGGAAGTAAACAAACAAACGCACACACACACACGCACACACAGGCTTTGTCACTGACCGCACGGTAAGGCTTGGTACATGGCGGTGCGCGGTGCGACGGGCGATCCGTGTGATCCGGCGGGTCGGGCCGTTAGCTAAACATTGACTGACAAGTCGGCCATGCCCGAGCTCCGACTCCCTGCCTCCCTGGCCGCCGCCGTCACCGCCAGGGCACCGCCAGGGCACCGCACCGCCGCCGAGATCGGAGCGCCGCCCCCCGCCCGCCCCCCTCGCCTCCGGCTTACCGCTGCCCCCCGCCCCCCGCCCCCCCGCCTCCGTGGAGCCGCGACCCCAACGGGTATCACGGCGCGGGGCTGGCAATGCTGGCAATCGTTGCACAATGTCGTTCAACCGGGAGAAGAGTCCGAAGGGAGGAGTAGGGACTCGCGTAACAGGAGTAACGCGATGGGCGAAAATTACACTGTCACTTTACAGGCACTTCCAGGTGCCTCCAGGTTCTTGCAGGCGCTTCCAGGAGCTTGCAGGTGCTTCCAGGCGCTTCCAGGCGCTTCCAGGAGCGCTTCCAGGCGCTCGCAGACACTTTCAAGGACTCGCTCCAGGCGATCGGCTCGGAATACGTACTGACCATGGCCCGGCAGACGAAGACAGACGACGCGACAAGACGCCAAAGGCGAAGCCAAAGGCGCCGTAAAACGCGACGGGGGAATTCCATGAAAAGGAGCAGACATGGGGAATGCAGTGCACCCACTACGCCCTGTACTCAGCACATACAGTGCACTGCGCCGGGCCGAGGGGGCGCCGCCTGGGCCGCGTACGAGGCGGCCCTGGGTGGGAGCGAGGCGGACGCACAGTGGGCCAGAAGACCGGCGGAGGCGGCCGAAACTCTACACGCGTTTTGAGCTCCAGAGTCGCTAAACAGGGCTCGAACCGAACGTGTGTCCCCACCAATGGATTGCTCTCCGAACGAGGAATCCATTGGTGGGGTCACACGTTCGGTTCGAGCCCCATTTAGCGACTATGGAGCTCAAAAGGCGTGTAGGGTTTCGGCCGCCTCCACCGGTCTGCTTGCTGGCCCACTGTGGGATGGGCCAATTGGCGATATTCGCACGCAGCCCGCTCGTTGTGCGCACAGCGCGGCCCGCGTCGTGACAGTGTCGTGACAGTGTGGTGGCCGTGTCACCTGCCAATAGCCGCGAGGGGCATTAATTACAGGTGTTGGCGAAAACCACAGCCTCCGCGGCGAAGCGGCGAAGCAGCGAAGCGGCGCCAGTGCCCCGGAGCGTCCCCCGCGGCGGCGCAGTGTCACTGTCCGCCGGCCCGCGCTGTCTGTCTCTCTCGCACCCTTACGGAAGGCCCCGTGAGTGCGAGAGAGACAGAGCGACCCCTTCGGCATCAGGTGGCAGACCACCTCCAGACGTCCTCTCCAGTCTCCAGCACAACGCGGACCTCCAGACGCAAAAGCCCCGATGCACCAGTGCACCAGTGTCGAAAGGGTGGCCAACCCCTGCCTGCCTAGGCCACATCCGGGCTGAGGTTGGCCACCCTTCCAACACTGGTGCATCGTGGGAATTTTCACAGTGGGCTAGATTCGTATTTGCCAGTGCAGCAGTCGGCGTGCCCGCCAGTCACGTGCTGCCAACCGAGACAGCCGAAAACGAAGCGGACGAAGCGAATCTCAAGTCGAGTGTAATTGGCAAGGCTGCTGGTGGCGTGCACGGCTCACGCGAGGCATTGCACCACTTTTGCACTTCTGCCCGGGGGCCATGACGAGCAAAAAAAAAAGCGGTCCACCCCAGTGTTCGAACCCGGCACCCCGGGTGGAAGGATCTGCAGTTAAAACTATATGACAAAACAGGAGTTTTTCTGTTGTAAAATGTATTGTTTTAAGTGAAAAAAAAATTAAAAAATCAAGAAGTTGAAAGTAACTTTTAAGAGAAAAAAAATTGTAGTTAAACTGTAGTCAACTGCAGTAAAACTGCAGTTTAACTATGCAAAAACTACCAGTTATTTGGAACAACTATAGTTTCTCCCTCATTTTCGAGCTAGTTAAACTGCAGTCGAACTGCAGTTCAACCTTAGTTTCGAACAACTTAAAAGCCATTTGAAATAACTAGACAGAGAGTAGTTGGGGTTCAGTTTTCGAAAAGAGAGTGAAAATTCAAAATAGAGCCTCAGCCCTGTTATCATTTTGCCACCTTAGGTGTTTTCAACCTTAGGTGTTAGTGAGTGGAGTCACCTCCTCTCGGAGTTGATCACTCGTAAAAAATATACTTCGCATCGAGGACTGATGCACTTGAAGGCACAGCGATCGGAGCCTAACCAAACTACGACCCGTAGCCGTACTCGAGAGGAAAGTTGTACTCAAAGTTATTTCCCTAATATTCCACCTATCGAGGTCAATCCTTTTGTGGTAGAGTCATAGCATCTCAAATATTTGCCCTGCACAGAGTTTGACCCAAAAATATTCCTCTGATCGGCTGCAAGAACACTTTTAACTCGAAGACGTAAATGATGCGACACTAGCGCCACCTAGCGGATGATGCACTAAGTGTCCATTTTTGCGGTAGTCAATATGCTTTGCTCCAACTTCACTCAACGAAAGTGTTATTAAATACTACTAGCATGTTATATTATGTTTATTTTAAAAAGGGTATATGAAGGACTTAACAGAATTACTTTGATTTAGATTTAATAAAAAAAAATCAAAACTAAGAATTTTTCTACATCTTTTAAACTACAAGCAATTTTAGAGTAATCCTATGTAAAGTTGTAGTCCTCTTCATGACAAACTTGCATTTTATTACCAATTTTAATTTTAAACTGTCAGTATAAAAAATGTAAGCGCAAAATATTTTGGACCTTTGCGACAAGTCAGTTTACGTAAACTTGTCGCAGACTTAAGGTTACTTTGTCTCTCTAGGGAGGCTAACTTTAAAAAAGGGGAAACTTGCATAAATTTTTAAACATCGAACAACTATACCATTTAAAGTAAAGCCAACTGTATTAGCTATAAACATTAAACGTTTGCTTTTAACCTTTCAACGTAAACCTCATCTGCTTTAAAAGCAATGAAGCAGCCACTGTAATTTTGAGTTCCCCTAGTGGTATGTAACTTTTACTTGATACAACTAGAAGATTGCATAAGAAGTAAGGGAGAGTGGGGTAATTCCGGACGTTTTTTTTCTTTTTGGTCTTTGAGCTTGAATATGCTTCTTGGGTCAAATGTTATCACAGGAGAGTAAAGTATGGACCTTTCCCTTCAAAATGATATACATGAAAGCCAAATCTCAGCAACGGTTAGAGAGATATAGGCGCCTAACAAAAGCCCTGCACGTGTCCGGAATTGCCCCAGGCTGGGGTAATTCCGGACGACCTATGGGGCAATTCCGGACGACCTTAAAATTTGACACTACTCGAGCTTACTTTCGCTTGTTTTGATGTGAGGCATGCTTTTAAAAGGCGTACAAGGACATTTGCTGCGAACTGAAGTGTTTGATTATTACTCAAAGCATATTATAAGGAATAGTTTCTATCAAAACCCCTAAATTGACAACAGTGTCTCGAGTAAAGCTCTTAAACATAGCTGCAATACTATTTTTCGTTCTTTCTTTGTCCTTCTGAACGGTGGGGATGCTTGTCCACAATTTTGAACCCACTACCTTAACATTATGCGGGAAATTGAAGTAAATAACCCCTCTTGTCCGGATTTACCCCACAGGTAGTGAAAACCTTTGATGTTCAATTGCGAGAAAACGGCGAGCCATACGAGCACTCCCGAAACGCCAAAGTAAAGTCCAATGACCATATAATATGATAAAATTTAAGTCATGGGACTGAACTCGACGGTAAGGTACGATAAGCACATGGAAATACGAGGAAAAGATGTAGCTTTTGCCTATTTTTGATGGTACTCAAATTTCGTGAAGCGACCACAGCCAAACGGTTTGACCTCCTTCCTTGGCGATTTGGAATTATCACATTTAACTGATTATCTTCCACTGTTAGGCGGGCTTTTGCGTTATCTTCACTCAAACCCAGTGAAAATCGAAGTGTCCGGAATTACCCCGTGTCCGGAATTACCCCACTCTCCCTTATGGAAACGTACTAGTTTTGAGACATAACTATCAACGTTAGTATGTCGATAAGAGAATATGTTTAAAATACATACTAAGTACGGAAACATACTAGATGAGAGACAGTTTTTGAATATTTATTTTCAGCAGTCGCTTTACTTCCAGAAATGGATATTAAGTAAATTGTAAATGAAACTTAAACTGAACCTCCAACTGAACTTCAAATCAACACTAAAACAACATTGTGAACTGACAGAAAACTACAATTTCAACTGCAAAGTGGAATTGTATTTAGTCTTCAGTTTCTTTTTAAAACTAACTTTAGTTCGGGAACTGCAGTTTAGGTACTGTAGTTGAAACTACAGTTTAACTAAAGATCCTTCCACCCGGGACCCCGCCGGCGCCGGCCTGCAGGTGCGGGATGCCGTTGCCTGGTCCGCGCGAAATACTCATACGGGCACGGCACTGCCACGGCGCGGCTAAAAATAGCCCGCAAAAGGCGGCCGAAGCGCGAAAACGCGAAAACAAAAACAATATCCAGGCAATAAAAGTTCAAAACTTGACTCGACAGTTGTGACGCATACGGACCGGACCGGCGGCACCAACCTCGCCTTGCGAATGGTCCGGTCTCGGTCCCCTCGGTCCCCTTCCGATTATCGCTTTCTCTCTCTCTCTCTCTCTCTCTCTCTCTCTCTCTCTCTCTCTCTCTCTCTCTCTCTCTCTCTCTCTCTCTCTCTCTCTGCGTCTATTTTCGGCCCGGCGATAACGCGCCACGCGCGGGGACCGAAATATATCGTCCCCTTTACTACTCATTCAAATTGGTCGATAAGTCCGATAGCGTCCTTGGACCCGCGACATCCCGACTCGATTACTCGAAGTAGAGAGTAAGTTTCCACTCGTCCTATCGCCACACCGCGCCCACCCCGTCGCGACGTGGGGCAGTCGCGGGTCGCCGGGTGGAACCTCTACAAGTGACCCAATCGATTCGTTTATCGCCACCCTGGTTGGTTGGGGGTAAATATTAAACAAAACAATCTTCTCTTTTTGTGGCGGCGGGCCCGGCCGGCCGGCCCCTCGGTGTCGGGGTCACAGGGAAGTATTTACCGCCACAGCGTCGCTCTGTCTCTCTCGCACTCGCGGGGCGTCCCGCAGGGGTGCGAGGGGGACACAGCGAGGGAGGCTGAATCGGACTCGCAGGCTGAGAGTTGGAAGGTCGGGGTGTACCGGGTGGACGTAGCGCCACTCTGCCAGGCTCCTCCAGAATTTTTAGACCAATTTGCGTAAAATATTTAAAAGAAAAACTCCGCAACGAACTCTGAAACGTTCAAAAAAGTTTCTCAAAACGAACCCTTTAAACGGCATCCTTGGGGATCCTGGGACGTGGCGAAAGAGCACGCACAAGCCGGGATGTGGGTTACATGGCGAAATCCGCTTACGTGGATCGGCACGGCCGGCACGGCCCCCTCCAAATTCTTTTGTCATAAAAGTCGAGTGACGACCAGGAAAGGCGGGGAGAGACTCTTGCAACCGGGTTCCGATTCCCTCCATTCTTGTTTGCGGGCTTCGGGCCGCAAGTGCGTTGACTCCGTTGACTCCTCGGCTCCGCAGCGCGTCCGCCTCCTCTTTGAATGACGCCCTCTCGGCCAATCATAGCCCTGCCTGCAGGCCGGTGGACTTGGGGGGGCTAGTCCGAAGGGGGACGAGTCTGACGCACTCACTCCTCGTGTAGTTTCTAGGCTCTGCGCTCTACTAGAACCGCAAACAAGAATCGCTCGGTCTCTAGGGCAGGATCAAGTCGGCGCGCCTCTGCACCGTGTGCCCCATATCTCTCTCTCTCTCTCTCTCTCTCTCTCTCTCTCTCTCTCTCTCGCACCTACGGCAGAGAGATGTGTCTCCAGGCACTGCAACTCACGACGAGGCGAGAACTCGGAATTCCGTCATTGTCCGGATTGGAAGAGCGTCTATTTTTACCCTAGACTGGCGTGACCTGGGCAGCACAACAGTTCAGCGAATCGCTCTCCTCGGTGTCTCGACGTCTCGACCGAGCTCGACACAGACGCCGCCGAACTCACCCAACCAATCAATTGCCATGCATCGCCCACGTGAGTCTATTTGACGTAACAACCATTACCGTCGGTTGAGAGATTATCGGGATGCGATAACCGACTACACAAGTCTCCAGCGCCAAAACTCGTTCAAAATTTTCTCTTACCTCATTGTAAAAATCTAAAAATGTCATTTTATATAACTTTATTTTTGGAACTCACGTGGGAGGGTACTTGCTTCAAGTGTCGAAACCGCTGAGACTGCGTATTTTTCCTCTCCCAGTATTTCTCCACTATCGCCTCCAAATTGGATTTCTGTCCGATTAGAATGGCGAAATGGCACCGAGCCTTTTACTCGTTTTATTTTTTTCTTCCCCTCGCCAGACGGAACTTCCCCACCCCACAAGTTATAGACCCGCACTTGTGTAATTGCGATATCGAGATGTGGCAGTGGGGTATCGAGGTATCGAAGTGGGGTATCGAGGAATCGAAGTGGCCTACCTCCGTCCCCGGAGATGGTGTACACGTCGGTTTTCCTCTCGCCCTTGGGGTCGACCCGCTTGTTGGCCAGGTCGCCTGCAAACAGAGAGAGAAAGAGGGAGACGAGATAATTAGAGAGTGTGACAAAGACTGCTCAGCTCATCGCGAATGAAAGGAAAGGAGAGGAAAACGGAGACAATCGTGTCAAAGACCTCGCTACCGAAGAGATGTCCACCAAGCGGACTCTTTGGGGGTGGGGAGGGTCCGTTAAAACTTCCCGGAAATATTTTTTTCAAAAAATTAAGAGATTTTGTAAGAGGAGAAAGTGACCAATTTTTTCAAAAATTCCTATATTTTTTCGTGTCACACACTCAGTGTTCATTAAGCTGACACTTCCGAAGAGTCAGAGGGCGTTGCGGATGTGACGTGGTTTGTGCAGAGCACGCGGCAACCGACTCGGTGTTGTTGTTGTTTGTTGTCGCGCTGCACGTGGACCGCGTGGAACCACGCGTCACTACACTGCGACTTGCAACTGTGTTACACACTGCGGCACTACTACACGCGTACACGACACACCCACGCCACGCCCGCGGGAGGGATGACGCTTACAGAGGAGTGACGTTCGCGGCGTATACGCAAATGCCATGACATTGTCGTGATGTATCGACTCGATATCTCGAAATATCGACTAAGTGTCTCTCGAAACGGAACCAGATTTCTTTTCTTCCACCAAGTCTTCATCTTTCCTTGCAATTTTTTGTTTGTAAGATTTCAGATTTTTTTCTGTTTTTTTTTTTTTTTTTTTAGCGAGCAGGTGCGACGCTTGTACCCGTCGTGACGTACCGGGAAAGCCCGCTCCATAAATTCAGTAAGACAGTCGTTGAGAGAGAGGCGAAGGTTCCCGCGACAATGCGACGGCCCACCTCAGCCTGCGTGCTCGGCAACTCCTTGTACGCCAAGCGGCGAGCGGAGGCTGCGACTGGAAGGCTGCCGGAGGTTTGGGTTGCCTGCCCACCGGGCGCAGCCCTGGCGCAGCCAGCGCGAGGCTCGCGAGGCGGCAGCCCGCTGGGTAGGCAGCCCATCCCACTCAGTGGCGCAGCGCCGCACAGTGGGCCAGAAGACCGGTAGAGGCGGCCAAAAACTCGGACGCGTTTTAGAGCTCCAGAGTCGCTAAATGGGACTCGAACCGAACGTGTGACCCCACCAATGGACTCCTCGTTCGGAGAGCAATCCGTTGGTGGGGTCACACGTTCGGTTCGAGTCCCATTTAAGGACTCTGGAGCTCAAAACACGTCTAGAGTTTTGTCCGCCTCCACCGGTCTTCTGGCGGCCCACTGTGCGACGCCGCCAAATAGAAACCAGAGAAATTGCCGCAGTTCCTGCTACGTGTCGAGGCTGGCCGTGTCGCGTTAGCGCCGCCGGTTCGTCGGAAAAGCAAAAGCGCGTTTCTCGCCGAGAAAAACTGAAAAACTGCCGTTGCACAAAGTCACAAAGCGGCGCTCTTCTCCGACGGCCGTTTCTCCGACGCGGTTTCTTCCGCCCGTTTTTCCGGCCAGACGCATAAAGGCTGTCGACCGATCCGCATCCGCTACACTGGAGGCGAGGCGCTTCTGCGCTTTTTCGCGCGTTTCCAGTGAGCTGGTCTTGTTGATGCACTGCAGGGGCAGCACACTGGAGCGGGAGCCTTACCGCCTCTCTTTCTGTCTCCCCCCCCCCCTCTCTCTCTCAGTGCGCGTGGCGCGGGCGTGCCGCGAGTGCGAGAGAGACGGCCTGCAGGGACTCGAAGGTCGCGGCCAGCGCGGCCAGCCAGCGCGGCCAGCCAGCGCGGCGTGCGGGTGTTACTCTGTGACGTGACGGCGAGACGTGCCGGCCGCTGTGACACGAAGCGACAGCCGGACAGCCAGGACTGCCGCGCATAGTGGATGGAGCTTCTCGTGGGTGCGAGAGAGACGGAGGGCCGTACCGACGGCGGGCATCCCCCCCCCCCTTTCCTTCCGTGTCGCCCGGAACTGGTTGACAGTGGTCACGCCTCGGCGAAGGGGACGCCCTTATGTTCCGTGCTCGGCGACGCCGTTTCGGGGACCGCGGCACCCACGAGGGACCGCGTACCACGTGGCCGGCAGTGCGGGCAGTGCCGCTGGCGAGGGGCCAGCGCACGCGTGCGCACGCCTGCAGTGTGCACGCACCGCCGCGCCGCCCGACGCGCTGCTCGGAGGGGAATGACTGGACGCGCCGCCCGCCGTGCCGTGCCATGCCGCCGTGCCCATGCCGAACTTGGCGGGACGCCGCGACGCCGCGACGCCGCGACGCCGTGCTGGAGCGGACCCAGGGGGCGTCGCTGCGTCGCCGCCCAGCCTGCCCACTAGGCAACTTCTCGCAGTGAAGCCAGGATGTTGCCTAGCAGGCAGGCTGAGGTTGGCCACCCTTCCGACACTGGTGCCTCGTGGGGACTTTTCCCTACTTTGGCAAAGCACTGCTGGGAACGACGCACTAGGAACGAAATGACAGTTCGGCGCTGTGACGCGCTGACGAACGCTTCCGCCAGCCAGCAGACCGATTCCGAGAGTCGTTTGCGTCGCTCTGTCTCTCTCGCACCTTTACGGGACAGCCCGTGAGTGCGAGGGAGACAGCAGGCCGCCGGGCGGGCGAGGTGGAGTGTTTTCGGTGTGTCGCCGCCGAAGGGATCTTGACAGTTATACTGTTGTGTCTGGCATGGCAGGCCGCTGGCGGGTCTGGCGGCTACGTCCGACACTCTTCCGGAATACCGGATCAGGATCCAAACAGTTTAACGGCGAAAACCTAGGCTAGGACGGGACGTAAACGACCTTGTGCCTCCGCGGTTCGAACGACACCGCCAAAAAGAAATGAAAAAAAAAATGTTTGGATTTTACGAGGAGGTACTTTGTAAACAGACGGCAGCCGGAGGCCTTCGGAAATCCTGAGCGATTAGTCGATTGGTCGATTTGCCTAAATCGCCGCGACAGGCCTGCTTCGGCGTTCAGTCACCTCACTGTAAGCGTCGCCTTTAAACTGCGCCTTAGTTCGGGAAAACGACAACAACAGTTGTGACTCTAGTCGATTGGTCGATTTGCCTAAATCGCCGCGACAGGCCTGCTTCGGCGTTCAGTCACCTCACTGTAAGCGTCGCCTTTAAACTGCGCCTTAGTTCGGGAAAACGACAACAACGGTTGTGACTCTAGTCGATTGGTCGATTTGCCTAAATCGCCGCGACAGGCCTGCTTCGGCGTTCAGTCACCTCACTGTAAGCGTCGCCTTTAAACTGCGCCTTAGTTCGGGAAAACGACAACAACAGTTGTGACTCTAGTCGTATGTTGCTGTTTTTTCTTTCAGTGGAGTTCGACGGTCTCGTCGTTAGTTAGTTAGCTCTTGTTCGATTACCTCGTTTGCTTTCACGCCGAAGCTGCCGACGCCGAGGAGGTTTCGAGTCGTCAGAGAGTTCGTCAACTTGACTTTTTGACGCGGGAATTATAAAAAGGAAATTTCCCCGAATTTTCTTTTTTAAATTTAAAATTTTACAGTCGTGGTCCTGCACAGCAGAGCCGCCGCCTGCGGTGCTCGACATAGACCGCTCTGTAACGCCCCGGTGTTCGGCGGGCCAGCCTACCCTCGACTTCGCAGGGGCTCCAGCCGGCTGTCAAATGGGGTTGTTGTCGTTGTTGTTTGACTCGTGTGTAAAGTGACACTGCGTGACTGCACAACGACACGTTACGAGCTCATCTTTGGCCCCTTGATAAAGGCGGGAGGACACACCCACTAAGCAAAGCGAGCAAGGTATGCATCGCCTTGGCCCACCTCGCCTTGGCCAGGCTTCGCGCTGATTGCAAACGCTCCGTCTGTCTCGCTCGCACTCGCGGGGCGCGCCCGTGTGCGCGAGAGAGACGGTGCGTTCGGCCCGCAGTGAGGATCGAGATAAAAGTGAGAGTCATTAGCGCGGCTCGCCCATCAAGTGGTGAATAACAGTGGTGCGTCTCGGAGCGGTCTCACCGAAAGCGGGACAAAAGTTGGCATGTTTCACAGTTTTCACGACATGTTTGACAACGCACAGCGTGCAGATTCGAATGTCCCAATTTCAACGCACATTTGCCTTACACTTTATTCGGTATTTTTCTTTTAAATTTCCAAAGGACCGGCTTTGCGATAAGGTGCGGCGACTAGTGGGCGATTAGGGAAAACAGCTGTAATCAATTGCGTGACGTGCGAGCTGAGGCACTGTAGGGACACTATTCGCAGGACAGACCGAGGGGTGCGGAGCACCCCCCACTTAGCACTGCAAAAATTTTAAAAAAAGTTCAGTCACAGCGACCGAAACTTTTTTTAGTTATGTTGACTGTGAGGTTCTTTCTTGGTCGATAGCTTATCATTGCTGAGGAAGTCCACCCAATTTTAGTCAATTCGATGAGATTTATTTTTTGGCAAGGAGGGAAGTCCCTTATTTGCAGACAGAACCGCGGTATTCGCAGTGGGGTGTCGTGGCAAACCGACCGCGCGTTCAAATCACCGACGCACTCGCAGATTTAGGACAAGGAAAATCAAATCAACTGGAGCCATGGAAAATCGTCAAGAGGCAGGATGAGAGTAGAGTGGGAAAAACGTATTAGAAATCCCCCAAGGGAGATAAATCACAGCAATTTTGTGACGATGGTTACATCGAATTGACTTTATAAATCTGATTTGAATTCCTTAGTGACGTATGGTAAGAAAGTACTACCCTACCGTCAACACAACTAAAACCAACATTTTTGGTCGGTTTGAATGAACTTGTTTATGCAGTGCCGTGATGACAACAGCGGCCAGACAAACAGATGTTTTCCACTCACCGGTCATTGTAGCGTTGACGGCTGGGACTGCGCGCTGGGAGGCGAGTACACTGACTAGGACTGACTAGGCGGTGTCCGAGGACGACGGCACCTGAACATCAACACAACTAAACTGAGAGCTGCTCTGCTTGGCAGTTTTGCGCGCGCCACGCGGCATCCCGCCCCGCCCCGCCCCGCCCCGCCCCGCCCTAGTGGGGATGAGATATGCAGGTGGCGGCAGGTGGGGGCGGGGCGGGGCGAGGAGGAAGGGGAAGCAGAGGCCTCTTCTTTATCAGTGTACGGTCAATTGTCTGCCAGGTGCGGTGGATGCGCTTTTTGCCAAGCGACAGTCTCTGAGAATAACGTGTCCAACATCTTTCCAGAATTACTACTGAGTGCGGCAAAATTCCAGTACAACAAGAAAAAGTAAACTTCTTTGGCATTTTAACTTAAAATTTCACAATTTTAATTTTTGCAGTCTAATTTTTAGACCTCTTTTTCTTGGCTTAAAAAACTCTTGAGTTTTTTCCCAAGATGACTGTATTTAAAAAAAAAAAGGCTTTCTAGGTCTATTAAAGCAATTTTTCTCAAGGAATTTTCAAGGGTTTCAAGGTAATTTTTGAAGGATTTGTGACAGGGCCTGTGTTTGTCGCGTGGGGGGGTCAAAGTCAACACTGAAGGGTCCCCGTGGGCGCAAGGCTTGCCTCGGCCGGGCGCATGGCATAAATGAGTTTGGCAGGATTTACAACGCGATAGTGTTCGAGTGTAGTGGCGTCCGTGCCGATAGTGCAGCACGGCCAGCACTAAGAGGCGGTCTTGCCAACACCCCAACACCCCGGTGAGGTCGACCGCCAGGCAGGACCCAGCGTTTCGCCCTCTTCCTCGTGTCTGAAAATTAAAAATTAATTTTTCATTTCGATCTCTCGATCTGTTTTGGCTAAAAAATAATGGAACACGTGTCTCCGGCGTTGAATCTAAAATGCCCCACCAACAAACCCAGCGGGCGCCTGTGGGCCTCTGGGTCCGTGGGCCTGTAGGGTCCCCGCTAAGGACGTACTAACTGACTGTTGACTAGAGGCGGTCCCCGCTGGTCCCCGCTTCACCACGCATGTTATTCGCACGGCGAGCCTCACTCCCACTATCCAGCGCTCCTATGTCTGGCGGTCTCGGCCGGTGGTGCCGGCGGTGCCCTTCGGGGCAATCCGAGCGAGTCGATGAACCCAGACGATCGCAGCATCGCCACCGTTTCCCATTGACACACTCAAAACACCCATAAACTGGAATAAACTGGAAAGGAAATGGGGAACACGGGACACAGCACCTTCCGGACAACACAGGTGGAACTCACACACTGATGGGACACACTCACACACACACACGACACACACACAGACGACGCGTGCCGCTCCACACGTGTCGTGGAGGGCTGCGTACCGCGTCCACCGCGTCACCGCCGCTACGTCCCCCCCTTTGGGCGCGAAGCGCGAACGCAAGGACGGAACGCCACAGCGGACGCCCCACCCCACCCCGCCCCACCCCGCCCCACCGGCCGCGGACTTTTCCACGAAGCATCCCTCTCCTCTTCCGACTGGACGCCGATGCATTCCAATCACCGAATTAAAAACCCTCCCCGCTCGGTAGATGAGCACGTACATCGTGATGGCGGCGAGAAGGTTGCGCCAAACCGACAGAAATACAATGAAAAGTTCCGGGCAGTGGCCGCGTCCTTTTCACTTTAAGTAGCAGTGTGGTGTTTGTTTGAATCGTCACTCGAATCGTCACGAGAGGACCGCGGGCATCGCCGGGCATGCGATGCTCACATCGAGACCGCCTCACGTGACACGAAGGGACCAGCCGGGACCAGCCGGCATGCATGCGCACCGCGCCATTTTTAGATTTTTAAAAACAATCTTGGAAATTCGCGAAGAACTGTTGGGGAGAAAAGTTGCCTCCAATCTTCGAAAAATTCAAAACCCGCCAATTTTTTTGTTATGAGTTTTCTGCAGGTATTGTTTTTCTTTTTGTTTTGTATTTTTTTTTTTTTTCAAAAAAATCTTTTGAAAAACGGAGTTTTTGGAAATTTCCGAAGGAGCTTCAAAACGCATTCTCCGGGATTTTTGAAAATTCATTTTTGTTCTAAACAGTGCAGTGAGCAAAGAGAGTGGTGACGGCACGGCACTGCGAAAGACCGTAAGCGTTTTATCACTCCGTGCGAAGGAATAGCGATGAACGCGGTACGAAGACGATGCCTCCTGAAGTGTGAAGCGTGTCCACCAGCAGCAGAGTCGTTTTCGTCGCTCTGTCTCTCTCGCACTCATGGGGCGTCCCGTGTAGGTGCGAGAGAGACAGAGCGACGACTCTCAGTCTGCAGGACGGACGGTCTAACCACTCGTCGCGGCGCTTAGCGCTGCCCCGATTTACTTGTCACAGTTATGACAAATTCCGTACAGTCGCCCAATCCGACAGACAGCAGTGATTCCCTTTTTGCGCTCTGCGCTTCGCTACCGCGGCAAACGCCGTGCAAAAGCCGTGCAGAAGCGTTTGGCTTCCGGTTTGTTTGTTTGGACGAGGCGCCGCGGCTCCGCGCCACTCCGTGCGCGTGGCCCATTTGACCACTCGCCGCCATTGTTCTTGCGTGGCCGAAAAGGACGCGCGGCATGGCACCAACGAAAAACATTCCACTCATGTCTGTATTTGACTGGAAAATGTCGTTTGGAAACAATAAAATTAATTTTAAAGCTGAAAAGCGGGGAAAAGTTGCACCTGAAGAAGGCCAGGCTCGCCCAGCGCCACCTCGCCTGACAATGACCAGCGGAGCGGCGCCGTCTGTCTCTGTCGCACTCACGTGGAGCGTGGCGCCTGGGTGCGAGAGAGACAGACGCGGTGAACTTGGCCGCCTTCGCAGATAACACGAGATTCCCCGCCTGAGCCGTTTAATTGCTCGGCCAATGGCGGAATTAGCGGGCTTTGGGAGCGGTCCTCTCGAGGCGCTTTCTGTCTCTCTCGCACCTACAGGGGCGTCCCACGAGTGCGACAAAGACAGAGCGACGACTCGAAGCCGGTGAGCCGCGAGCAATCGCTGTGGTGGGGCGATGTTACTCGAGGAGCAGGTAAGTCACTTCCAAAACAACAACAAAACAGACAAATTTTTCTGAAAAACAGCAACAAGTTTGTTTCTCAGAGCGCTGTAGGCAGGCTGAAGTTGGCAACCCTTTCGACTGGTGCGTTGTGGGGGCACCAACTGCTCCGAGGATCCCTGTACAGGGCCAGAGGATTCCGCCAATGATGTGGTTCAGTGAGATAAATGCAGGAGAGTATTGACCGATGAGAGTCCCGCGGGACGCGCGCGTCGGCCCCGGAGTACCAGGTAGCGATAGCGGGCACATAACAACAAGGACAGTAAAAACTGTGTCAGATTCACGGCATGGCATTCTTTGGCGCCACGCGTTACGCCGACCGAGAGTCTGTCTCTCTCGCACCTTACGGGACGCCCCATGAGTGCGAGAGAGACAGACGCCCAGACGACGCGCTGCTCTCACACCGGCACGGCACCGACGACGCGCGCCAATGAGCGATTAATTTTTTTTCCTTCGGAGGATTACTTTTTTCCCCATTGTTTTAAAAGGCGTTAACGCATAACGCGCGCGGGGCGAATTCCTAGATTGCTCGACTGAAGGACTGGAGCGAGCGACTGGAGCGACCCCTGGCGGCAAGAAGGCAAAACCGCGTCGCATTTCGCCGCGCCAAGTTGCCGCCCAGTTTCACAACGATACCGGGGCGGTCTCTGCCTCTCTTGCACTCGAGAGGCGTCCGGTACAGGTGCGGGAGAGAGAGCGGCAAAAACGACTCTCGGAAGCAGTCTGCTGGGGATGGCCGCAGACAATCCTTGCCCCTCTTTCCAATCTCTCTGTCTATCTGACGGGACGCCGCTGTTCCCTCTCGCTTGTTTGCCTAGGTTACAGACGGACCCCCCGGAACAGATACTTGCAACACTTTGTGGCAAACGCGCTATCGCGGTAGCAGAGCTAGCAGAGCGACCCCGGCCGGGCCCTGCTACCCCGCGCGGACAGTTGTGGAGCCAGCGGCTCCTCCCGAACGTCGCTCTGTCTCTCTCACACCTCCACGGGACGCCCCACGAGTGCGAGAGAGACACAGCCGGTGCCTATCGGCCTTCCGTAATTGCTCCCAGAGAGGCCAAGGCTGCAGTCGCTATCAGAAGGCCGTATCACACCAGGTCGACGCGTCTGCCGGACGGCCGGACACATATCCAAGTTTCCCGCCCAAACTCACATTCAAGTTTCCCGCCAACTGCCAACTGCCTAGTTTCCCGCCAGTTGGCCAGCGCTGCTTCCGGGGTCAGGCACGCACACACCACGTGATCAAAAGGGGACTGCCCAAGAATAGCGTCAGACCCTTCGTGCGTTGATTCAGTTGAGTTAGGTTAGGTTAGCCTAGGCCAGAAGGCTTGCCATCGCCACGGTGACAGGGAGAGACACCCATAAACCCCAATCCCTATAATCGCATCATTGCAATGAATTCCCCACTTGGATGGCGGATGTGAAAATGCGCACCGACCGTTTTAGCACAAAGCCATTTGGCCGTCTCGCTCTGTCTCTCTCGCACTCGCGGCGCGGCCCGGCCACTTTAGCAAAGTGGCCTGCCTGCCTTGCCTGTCGCGCGACGAAGATAGCAGCCTTATTGGCATCATCCCCGACTGGCCGGGCGGGGCCTGCAGGGCCTGCAGGGCCTGCTGCAGCATGCAGGCGGGGGTCGGAGGGTCGGCCACCCCGGCGACGCATGTCCAGCTAGCTGCAGCTCCAACCGGTGGCAGGCGGATCGGGACCGCCGCGGGGAAGGGGAGGGGTTGGGGGGGGGGGGGGAGGGGGGAGGGATGGTGCGGCGGGGGTGGCCCACTTAGGATGCATTCCCTGGCCAGCAACAGACAAACTGCAGGACCAGTGAGTGTCAATCTGTAGTTTTACCAGCCCGTGTCACGTTGCTGGCCGAGACGAACATAATTTGGGAATCAAATTGACTTGAGAGCGTACACAGCATCTTCCGTCTGCGACGAAAATGGGGACAAAAAAAATGCTTGCAGCCGCCAGCCTAGCTGTCTTGTGACACTCGCACCCGTACGGTGAGTGCGAGGCTGGACATCGTGGGGATCTCATCCTGGGGATCACATCGTGCGGACGACCGAGCGTTTGCCGCCTACCAAGTCGCCACCAGTCGCCACACTGGCGCACTATAAAACTAAATCGGCGAATCGGCCGCGCGAACCGCGCCGAAACGCCACGCGCCACGCCATCTGGTGGCGGCGACACCAACAAGCGCCCCAAGCCAGTCAAATGGGGAGGTCTAGCGGCGAGCACCATCGCGCTGTCTCTCCCGCACTTGTAGAGGGGGAAGAGACAGACTGCGCGTGAGTGCAGTGCGTCCAGTGTCCAGTCCCGGACCAGAAAACACGCTACAATCCCGAATTCCGAAGGAGAATTACCTTCTAGAGCATCTCATTTTATTAGATAACAGGTCATTCATTCATTCATTCATTCATTCATTCATTCATTCATTCATTCATTCATTCATTCATTCATTCATTCATTCATTCATTCATTCATTCGTTCATTCATTCATTCATTCATTGACTGACAGACAGGTAGTGAAAGAGCCGAAGCGCAGGAAGACCAAGAAGACCTAGAAGACGGAGACCGCCTCGCCGGCCTCGCCTACCTCTAGCAAGGATACAAGCGCGGTGCTCGGTGTCTTCCGGTGTCTTGGTCGTGCTCCTCGAGGTGGCCGTCGTCCAGGTGGCCGTGGTGCTGTCTGCGGGAGGCGGCCGAAGGCGGGCCCTGGTCCAGCAAGTCCAGCTGCCCCAGCTTCGCCTGCACCGCGATCACGGCGAGTAGTGTGGCCCTGCCGGCCCTGCCTGCCGGGCTGCTGCCGTGTCGCGAATCCGCGGCGTGGCGCAGCAGGCCGACGCAGCGCTCTGTCTCTCTCGCACTCACGGGCCTGCCCGGGCCTACCGCGTCGGTGCGAGAGAGACAGAGCGACTGTTCGGCCAGGACAGGGCCCGCGTGGAGGGGGCGTGTTGGGATAGGCCTGGATAGGCCGGCCCTTGGGACGCCGCGCGCCTCGCTCTGTCTCTCTCGCACCCACACGCGACGTGCGCGACGCCCCACGAGTGCGAGAGAGACAGCTGCTGGACTGCTCCGGATGATTGCGCCCTTGACGAAATGGCGTCCCCCTGCCCCTCCCATCCAGGGGGAAGCACCCAGCAGGAGTACGGAAGAGTTGAGATGGGTCCCACTTCGGTTTTCCTTTCGGCAGTTGAAGTGATTCCGAGAGTCTTTTCCGTCGCTCTGTCTCTCTCGCACCGATGCGGAACGCCCCACGAGTGTGAGGGAGACAGAGCGGCGAAAGCGACTCTCGGAATCAGTCTGCAGGTAAGTGCAGGCAACGACTTACCTCTTCCCACGGCAAGCGACGACCCCGCGTTGCCCGCAGTCCGTCGCAAAGTGTCCCAAAATCCACAACCAAAAACAGTGTTTGTTCATGCGGTGTCTCCCTTGCACACAGACACTAAAGGTGCGTCGACCAGGGGTGCGAGAGGGACAGGGCGACGATGCTCCGGAGGGAGGCGGCGGGAGCGCCTGGTGGGTAGGCAGCCCATTCGGCGCGTGGCGGCACGCTTTGGCTGCTTTGGCTGATCGAACAGCGCTTTCGTCGCTCTGTCTCTCTCGCACTCCTGGGGCCTCCCTAGTGGGTGCGAGAGAGAGGTGCACAGTCTCGTCTTGGCGTCCAAGCACCCGGGAAGCGGCAGGCCGAGCGGCAGGCCGAGCGGCAGGCCGGCAGGCACGAAGACTCCTGTCGGCAGCTGCACTTGCAAAGCAGGCGAGCGGTGCACGATCACCCGATGAATGCATCATGAGAATACAGCAAGAAAGGCAGAAAGAAACCAAAGTCTTTGTTTTCGCACCAGCGATGATGCGTGCCGAAGTTAGCCTATTTGCGGAGAGCGCGAGAGAGCGTAAGTCTAAAACAGTTGGTCTAGAAATGGACCCGCGACCGCTTTCGTCGCTCGGTCCCTCTCGCACTCCAGCTGAGAGCCGAAAAGCGCGAAGCCCGTGCGAGAGAGACCGAGGGCGGACCGGCCCACTGCAGCGCGTCCCAGTCCCGTATCCCGTATTAGAACGGCCCAGGCCAGGTCAAGACCTCGGTCCAGACTGGAGCACGCCGAAGGCCTCCTCAAAGGCAGTCTTTGTCATGGAATCAGGCTGTGTCTGTCTCTTTCTCAGGAGGCGTCCCGCATAGGCGCAAGAGAGACAGAGCACGTGCCGCCCGCGCTGGCGGGACACCCTGCAATACACTAGGAACTAGAAGGGCGCCTCATGCATCCTGCAGCTTCTGTCCATTGGACGTCCCTGATTCGGGTTGAGGGTCGACCGATGACCGATCTTCCCTAAATGGTCCTCAGACGTCAAGTGAGGTTGTTCATTCGGATATGCGGTAACTCTGGTACTTCCCTCGACGTTTGCCTTCATAGAATTCGAGATTCGAATCGTATGCACGACAATTACTTTCTCATACCAACTTCTCCCGCCGACCGCGCCGAACCAGGCAGGCTAGGGTTCGTAAACAAGTTCGTTTCCCTCTCCCTCCCTCCCTCCCTCCACCATCACCCCCCCCCCTCCCTTCCAACTATCCATCTAGCCTGGTTCTGCTGCTAGTAACCAGACAGTTTTATTTCACAAACAACCAGCATTGTCCTTTTGGACAATTTTTCCAAATCCACTGTGGCCTCCCCAACGCCGCCAGGATGAACAGTGCGAAGAGAAAGAATATTGAGCTATCCGACGACGATGTCGCTTCATTCATCTCGATAACTGGTACGTAAACATGTCCTTTTATCCTCATCTTCATTTTCTAGGCATTCGTTCAGTCAATTGGGTCGAAGACAAAAACCCAGGCACTCTCTGTTTCCTTGCTTGCGTCAAGTCCCCCGTCAAATTTCGCGTAGAAAAAGTCTATTTAAGAACCGTTATTTTCTTGGTTAGGTTTGTTTACATCGGTCTCTCGTCTTGTATTCTGATTATCAAGTGTTCTCTAGCCAGTTACATGCTAATTTCTGACTACCTACAAATTTATTTCTTTGTTGAGCGAGTACAACTTGTGTTTCGTTTGGCTTGTCTGGAACACTACTATTATTTGCTCTCCGACACATCTGTCAAAGAGCTCTATAAATTAGTTTCTTTGCTGTTTGCTTTCTGTTTGGTAATTTTAATGCTGATTTTATTCAAAATTTGCTCACAGGTGCTACAGATGACATCGCAAGGAGAAGGCTCACAAGAACAAATGGAGATCTCATGATGGCCATCAACCAGCACATGGATAGTGACGGAGTTTTTATTGATTTAGACGAAGACAATGAGGTGGAGGTTGTAGAAGTCGGGTCCTCCAATCGGACTGGTAACAAACGAGAGCGAAATGTTCAAAGCATCTCTCCTAGAAGAAGACTAAGCACCACAACAAATGGAGGTAAGAATTTGGGTTAAAGTCAAAGGTTACTCATTTTTATGTTTTAACTTCACCATTATTTTTTGCTCAGGTGATGGACCATCATGCAGCACTACTGATGATGACGTGAGAGCACCAATTGCTCCAATTACAGCAAGACTTCTAGACCCTCATCATGATGTTGACTGGGAAAACATAATGCACAGACCAAGAACTAATTCTGCTTTTGATGGCTTGCGAGATTTTGCAGTTGAAACTGGTAAAAAGACTTTTTAAGTGTGTAGTACAGTCGTCAGTACAACTTTTTTTAAATGCTGTTATTTTTGTAAAATTTACCAGATCATCAAGAAGAAATGCTTGCGTGTCCAGAAAGAGCAAAGAAGAAAAGAACCTTGGAGGACCTATTTCGGCCTCCTATTCATCTTATGTTTCATGGAACATTTCTTGCTGTGAGTTTGGTGTAGTTTTTACTGCATATATACTTTCATCAAAGATTCTCTACAGGTTATTTTTTTTCATTTTTTTGCAGGCAAGAGATGAAGCAACTAATCGAGAAAGATGGCTTATGGTTAACATTCAAAACATGAAGGAATTTTCTTGCCAAGTTCTTAATAGAGACATCTGGTCTGATAGTGTCATTGACTCAGTTGTTCGACAACATTTCACATTTTGGCAGGTGTGTGCTCATAAAACAATTGTTGAAGTATTAAATTTATTTTCTTTTTGATTTAACCATTTTCACTGTTGACTTTCAAGGTATACTCAGACAGTAATGAAGGGAAGAGGTACATGAGATTTTACAATGTGCCATCTTGGCCATACGTTGCAATTTTGGACCCTCGCACTGGAGAGTGTCTGGTTGAATATCATCATATTTCTCGTGATACCTTCTGTGATAATATTCTGACCTTCTTAAATGCAAATCAATGGAATCCACAACAAACACCTCGTGAGGCTACTATGGCCTCTGTTAGTTCCAGTCAAGATGGCTCCAATGCAAAACCTCCGAGTGGCAAAAGCAAGGTGGGTTTTATTTTGCTTTGTTTGATTGATTTTCCTTTTTTGTGTGGTGGGAACAACAGTGTCATTTACATGTCTTTTTCAATTTTTTAGAGTGATGCAGCATCATCTATCATTGATGCAAGTGAAGAGCAGCAGTTGGAAATGGCTCTTGCTGCCTCATTAAGAGAAGCCGCTACATCTAGTGCGGCTGCTACTGCAGCTTTGAGCAGAAGGCCGGATTCTGATTCAGATGCTGAAGATGATGATGAAGACAAGGAAGAAAATGAGGATGAGGAGAACAAAGACGTCTCGTTTTCACCCAGCAGCAGTCCACTCATGCCAATTGAGCCTCCCGTTGTAATGGATACCAATGGTATAATACATGGTTTTTATTGGTCCTTGTGAAGGTCATGAATCAATTGGTTCTTTAATTTTGCTTTGTTTTACAGCACCAAAAATGTGCATCATGCTACGGTACCCGGATGGCAAAAGAGAAGAAGCCACCTTCCCCAGCACTGCATCCATTCACGTTAGTATGTTATGTCCCTCTGACACTTTCTCTGAATCGCACTCTATCTTACCTTGCAAAATCATGTGTTGCAGGCACTTCAGCAATATGTTGCCTCCAAGGGGTTCCCATCTTCCCGCTTTGAACTTGTTACACATTTTCCTCGACGTAATCTATCTGATCTTAAAGGTGTGACATTAGAAGGGGCTGATCTTCATGCAAGAGATACTGTCTTTATTCAATTGAAAAACTAAATTGAATTTTGTGAATTGTTATAATCTAGAAGGCCCACCATGATTTCAGTCTGTGAGAGGTTTAATTTATTTTTAAGTATCATAAATAAAAATTGAGATTTTATGACCTTTTTAAAAAATCTGATCAGTATTTTGTTTTTGGATCATGTACGATTGTTGTAAGAAAAGTAGGAGGAGAAGCCACTGAGTTGTTACTTCATTTGCATTACTATTGTAGTCCATATGCTGAGTGTCTCAGGCGGCATCAATTCTTAGACATTATTATATTTTGATGATTCTTTTCTTAAGCCTGCGAGTAACAATTATTTTATATGAAGTGTTACTTGAGTGATCAAATTTCTAGATGAAATTATAGTATAATTCATGAAATTGGAGGAATGTATGTGATATTCTTAATATCCTCGTCAAATGCCACTTTTGTCAAAAATCGATTTTGTAATGTCCTGCAATGCAAAGGGTAAACAGCTGTATTACTGTCTTTTGGTCTCTTTACTCGCCTTGCATTAGTATAGCTTGCTTGGCATAAGTCTTCCCTTTTTACTGAAATCCTTGTATAAATCTGGCCAGATAAATGTGCCTTGGGATGGCATGTGTTGGTGTGAAATTATTTTCCCTAGCCAATGCCATCAAAGCATGGAAATCAACTGTCACTCCCAACACCAAAAGAGGGATCGGGGAATGAATTAAGAAGCCATTGTTAAATGGGGAGGGGGAAGTTCTTTAATATGGAATTTAGGGTATTTAAAATATACGATACATAAAAAGTTAATTTAGGGTCCACAATCGCTTCAACACACTGACAAGGACAAGACTTCTCAAAACGTTAAATAATGTTAGTACTCCACAAATCTCAAATGGAATCTTCGATTAGCAGGAAAAAGTATTAAAATATGTTCCACAGATAAACACAGAATTCCAACAACTTAACTGCTTCAACACATGATGTAAAAAATAAATTATGCCTAATGATGTCTTTAATTTGCAACTAATATGCAAATGAATCTGAATGACAATGACTCTAAAAACATTAAGAAAAAAAAAAGAGGAAATCCTTCTCAGTGAAAATAGTATTCTAAAATGGATGCTGATGAAGGGTCTAACAAAGTTTGCAACTGCATGACCATGCATAGACCGCACAAACAAGACACCCAATGAGCATGTACAACTTAATAAATAAAGTGAAATGTTAAGCATTGAAAACTGCCTGCCAGATGTGTCATCCATAGCCGTTTATGATCAACACAAACTTACAATAAAATGTGTTCAAAACATAATAGACTCAGTAGACAACATTAAAATTTATGTGAACTTGCTCAACAGAATAGACATCATGTTCCATGGGAAACTGAACTGCAACTTCAGCAAACTGCCACTTATCAATTAGTATTCTTCTTCCTCGTTAGGGGGTGGTGGAACATCACCATCAATCTCTTCAGGAGGAGCAAAACCATCCTGCAAACACACCACAGAACTGTTAGTCCATTTTCTTAAGAAAAAATTAAAGGTATCTTAACCACCACTGATTGATGTTGATATGACTAAGATTTGGAGTAAATCCTTGTAGCAACTTGTTTCTCATAACAACCCAATTCCCAATACACGATGGAAAAAAAATTATTTAAAACAAATAATGGAGGTGAATGACCCCAAAAAAAGAAAAACACCATTGTTGAAGGATTCCATGAAGAAAATTGTGATTGGTTAGTAATGACATGACATGACCCAAAATTATGATTACTACCCATCTCCCAGCCATACCCTGTAGCACCAAAAGATTTAGTTTGAAAGATGTACATTCACTGACATTTAGTATACTCAAAATAGATCAAATAACCACAAAGTGTTCATTGTAAGTAACATGTTACAGTCCCTGACAAACAATGTCTATACAACAATTACTAACACCATACAATGCATAATTTCTGGCCCATTAACAACTTTAAACTCAGCTCACCCCAATCCTAGTGCCTATACCTGTTCATCTTCCTGTTAAACAAGATTTTAAGAGAAAAGGAAATGCTTTAAGAATACTAAAAACTGATAAGGTAGAATGGATATTTGTGCTATCTTAAGACAAAACATACCTCTGTGGCGTATAGAACATCCAGAATATTTTTGAGGATTGGGACTTCTTCTCCATCATGGTCCTGACACATGAGTTCAATGTTCCGTAGCTTTCCAAAGTAGAAATCTCTTTCCTTTTCAAGACCTTCAATTGTGATTTGAAGATCTTTCAACTGAAAAGGAAACAACAGAAATTGTATTACTCATCCGTAACTCAATATAATCATAATTGTAAAAGTTACAGCTGATTAACAGGCATATTGCTACCTTACCTGCATACTTAGCTCCTCTAACTTGGAGGCATCCCCTCTTTGGTTCATTCCACCAGAGGGTCTGGAAGGCGCTCTCAGGGGTGTAGCCTTGGGCGCTGCAATAAAATATTAAATTCAGTTAGACACTGCATTAATAAAATTATCGGTATACAATAACAATTAGAAATGTGTAGGAACAGAAAGCACATGCTTAACAAAAGACTACTAATAAATTGTACATGCACTGGCATTTGACGACATGCAATTTTTGTTCATTAAAGCATACCATTGATGATAAAACGCACATTTCCCTAATAAAATAAAGGCAGGCAGTTTGGTGGTGAGAAGCTTGTTTGTCCCACACCCACATACCAAGGGCATGCTGTAAGTATTGAAGATGACAACATTTTGATATAACCACTGAACTCTAAGCAACTACAGGCAAAATGAATGAGATGAAAACACCATACTCAATCAACAAGGAACCTGCTTAAAATTACCAACCATGTAATCTACCAATATGGGGCATTAGGCACATCTCTGAAAGACTCCAGAGAAATAGAAACTACAGTGAGAGTTAGTACAGAGACCCCATTTCCTTCACAGATAATAATGCTAAATATGTAATTCACCAGGTTTTCCTATGATTGGCCGCGCTGAATTTGTGGACAATGGAGGCTGAGGCTTCGACATGATGGGGGCAGGCATGATGTTGCCGAAATTTCTTGGAGCCTTTGATCCACCATTACCCATCTGTTCACCATTGCGCAGAGCAGCGGCATCATATTCCCCACCACTATAGTTGGCATCAAAGAACTTTTTGAACCATTGCAGGAACTCAAAGTTGTCTTGGAACCGTCCTTTCACCAACCTATCTATAGGTACTATCTGTAAAAAAATAAAAAAAAATGGGTGTCTAAAGACTTTATCTCTTTTGATTCAGGCACTTCGGCATTCCAACTGTTGGAAAACGTATCCATGACATGATACTGAAGAATTGAACTTCCAAATGTTATGGATACTGCACTTATCAACTCCTCAAGGGGTACACTTGGTACCGACAGATATTTAAAGGTTCCTGACTTCAACAACATAATTAACTATTTGTCAAAAAATAATTTTTTAACTCAGTACTGAAATTATATCATTACAGGTTCCCAAATGAGAAAACTAAAATGACTTTGAATTTGCTATTCAACAACTTCACTAAACAGAGACTAAACTCAAGGGTAACGTTACAAAAAAATAAGAAAGAAAAAAAAAAGACTATAAAATAGTGCAAATGAAATGCTCAGTGAATCAAAAAAACAATTTACAAAGCCACACAAGCATTAACCACACTAAACTCATCACATCACACACTAGTATGCTGGGACAGATGTCACAAGACAAAAACAGTGCCAATGACGCATAGGTGATGAAGCATGCTGCAGCATTTTCCCCTTCGCACCTAGAAGGCAATGACCTACTAAGCACCAAACGCGGTGACAGAACGTGGACCATTACCCGGCTGTCGTAACGGCTGTCTCGCCTGCATTGTTGGTACTCGTGGAGCCATTTGTCTTGGCGCCGATGGAATAGGAACACTGCTCTGATGAAACACATCACACGCCCCACTACCCAAACCTAGACCACCCCTAGCATCAAGTGCATCATATGGTGTGCCATCATAATTGGCATCAAAGAACTTTTTAAACCACTGAAGAAATTCAAAATTGTCCTGAAATCGACCTTTAATCAACCTATCTACTGGGATAACCTGTCAAACAGAAAATAACACCAGTTGACCTGCAGATAATACCAATGAAATAGGACTAATACCAAGTATCCAGAGTGACAGTTTGATTCAATATCTTAAATAACAGACACATCACACAAATAAAGTCAGGAATTAACTCTAGGTTGGACATTACCTTATCTACAGACATTTTCTTGAAAGCTGCTTGGAGCAGCTTAAAATTCTGAATGTACTCGTGCTCCAGCATAGTCTTGAACTTAACTCGCTTCAGGGGAACACTGCCTACAAAGTGATAAAAATACAATAAACTAAAAAGAAAAAGACAAGTGTAAAAATTAAAAGAAACAATTGTAGACAATGTCTTGATGCATTACCTGGGAAGAGCATGTCCATAAATTGACAATATGCAGCACCAGTACAGAGCTCTTCAATCTTGCCGAATGACGAAGTAAGGCAGTCATTAACCCAAGCCAACATGTCATGTCGACTCAGGTTTTCTGAGGTCACATTAGTGGAATACACGTTTACTGCCATTTTGCTGTAAACAGAAAGCAAACGTAAATAATCAACAAAAACATGCAGACCACCCTTTCTACCCGAATCCTCGGGCTTGCAGAACTTGAGCGGGAATTTCCAAGGGCCAGACCGAGGAGGACTGACATTTGTGTCACAGGGTCCCTCCCACATAGACAATGGTGCAATGTTGGGGGCGCCCTGCTGCCGCGGCCGCGCGAGGGGCGAGGGGACACTCTGGCGGTACGCGCGCCCTGCGTACTGCCCGCTTGGGTAGCGCGCAGAAAAGGGCACCAAGGGGCAGTCTTTCCTTCGACAAACAGGCCAAAGACCAAACCGGAACGGGCCGGCCGGACCGACCGGCCGCCGCAGGCCCTACCAGAACCCCACCCTCCAGGCCGTACCGTCGGACCTACGCATCGCCCGCCCGCCACAGCACCACAGCCAGTCCAGCGACGACCCCACTGAGATTTCAAACGGCGATTCAGAAGCAGAGCCAGGCGCAGGCGGCACCAAGTCGGTCAGGATAACGTACGATAACCCCTCCTGACTCACCTGGGCCGCGCTAACTTGCGCCACGCACTCGCGCAACTGCCAATTACAAGTGAAACAGGCGGCGGCCCGCGAACCGAGGCTGGAAAGACGCGTAACGCGCCTCGCCGCGCTTGGCTCCGTTCAATCCAGCCAAATAAACACAGTAAAAACTTCTGGAAAGGAGGAATCGGCTCACCTAGACTCGGTTGTTGCAACTTGTAACGGGCCAAAATGGATCACCTCTCGATTTCACTTCCGCTCTTCGGCTGTTTTGTTTGGCTCACCCGCTTGTCGGCGGGAAAGTGCGGACCGACGAAACAGCTCGTCGTTCAAGATCGAAAACTGTGAGTCAGGTGAAGAAATTTCGGAAAGAGATTTCGTACAGTCGACAAAAGAAGCATACCGCATCTCTATCGACTGGTAAAAGTATGGTTTGAACTTTGATCACGGAGAAATTTACTCAAATGTGAACGAAGAAATGAGTACTGCTGGATTTGTCATATTGCACCGTCGTTTGTTTTCCCAACTGTCTGCTGCCTTCTGCTACCGATGTTTCGAGCCCCCTTCTTTCGTTATTTGCTCCGATTAGTTGATTTAACAGCCAATTTCAGCAATACCGCGGTACTATTCTTACTTTTTAGAACCATTTTCAGTCCTGACCATCTATGTCAGAAATTTAGTTTTGAGAAAGAAACGTTGTTTTGAACCTGGCAACACTGCTGGTTCCCCCCACCCAAAGCGTCATGAGTTGGATGCAAACCGTTGTCGAAGTCGGTCGGACGAAGAGAGATTTCCTCTGTTCTGACGCCATCTTGCTCGTGAAAATTTAGTCGTACGGCCTGCCCCATTTTCCGTTTTCCTTTCGCAATGTTCCGTCAACTATTGACGCCCGTTCGGGCCGTCCTGCAAAATTTGGGTGCGGAAAGTGTAGGCCCCAAACTCGCCAGCCACTGCAGAAGTTCCGGAGCTTGTGATTTCTCCGCTACCAGCTCCGCGGCCTACCACACATCACCAGCCCTCTTCCTGGGCAGGAGGCAAAGGAAGGAAGGGAACACGAGTTTCGTCCAGAAGGAGTATGTCGCCGACGGAGAAAAGGCGTCGATCTTGGAGGTGCGCCAGTCGAAGTGAGTACCCAGTGCCCCCGAGGTCGTGGCTGCTAACCCTTCGACCGTGCCACGGCACGTTCCCCTTTGTTCCCAGGCAATTTCCAGAAAGATCTGCCACGCTGTGCCGCGCAACGTGGCGAAATCCCCGCGATATTCCTCCAGCCGTCTGTCCCCCAAGTGGCCTGTGCTCAAAGCACAGCTCTCCCTCCTCCTGAACTGTCAGCTTGTTGGTTTTAGCCTGCCAGGCCACATTTTACTCCTTTGGGCAACTTTGTCCTTGGAATGCCCTTTACCTGCCCTTTGTGGGGTGGAGCTTTCTCTGGGGCCTCTTTCCCTGTTCTCTGTGCTGTTTTGTCCACTTTGCCCTCTCACCTCCTTTCCCTGTCTCCCTCTTTGAGTTGGAGCTCATTGAGATTTTGGACCAATCGAACTGATTAAACACTCCCGTTAGAAGGAGGTAAGCGACGGCAGTTGAACGTTCTCTGCGCTGCCTTTCGCTTCCTCCTTGCTCTCTGTTTCCCATTTGTATTAGTGCTTTCTGTCATCAACACATCTACAGTTTCAGCTATCAACCAAATCTCTATGGTCGCTTGAAACAGCTGACACTAACATTTTCTTTACTTTCATTCTTCTCTGAAAGTTGTCCGTCTCTTCCTTAAAATTACCCTTTGTTTCACCCACTGTGTTCCATCAATATGTTGCTGATCGTAGAATGTTTCCGAGTCTTTTCCCAATGGTTTTCCCATTTTGCGCTTTCTGAAGTTACATCATTGACCGTGCGTATTCAATGCGCCATAGTTTATCAGAGCTGACTCTAAATAATTGCATACGGATCAGTAGTGTGTTGCCATGTAGAATTGTTTGTCTTCTTACCAACTTATTTCTCTCTTACCTACTTATTAGCTTGTGTGTTAGAGTTTCATAAGCTTAATTCATTTGTTTCTTTTTGTTTCAGGGGCGACGATAGGTTTCCTGATCTTCATTTGCCCACTCGAGAATTTAATGGAATCATGTTCAAGGACCTTCCTATCGTAAATATAAAAGCAACATTGAACAACACACTCCTTTGTGTTACTGACAGTTTTGGTAAGTTAAATCATATTATAATCACCTCTCTCTCTTTGTTTTTATTTCATGATGTGTTCACCTTGCTTAACTGTTTGCCTTATGTGTTTTCTTTTAAGGTGCAGCCTATACGACGCGGAGTTGTGGTTATGACGGTTTTAAAAATGCTCGCAAGGGCACCAATGTTGCTGCTCAAGCTACTGCATTCACCCTTGGAAAGGTATACACCAACTGACTTTCATCTTACCTTGGATTTTTAAACAATGATTAATATTAGCCTACTAATGTTTTAAGTTAAAGCTCCTTAACATTTCATTAACAGATCTCACTCAAAGCACCTCAAATTTTTAATGACTTATGTTATGTCTGAATTTTCATTTACAGAAATTGATGCAGAGAGGCTTCCGAACAGTAAGGGTGAAAGTTTCAGGGCTGGGAGCTGGAAGACTTGTAAGTAGAAATCATCTTGGTCAATTCAAGAAGCTTTTTTGCTGCTGATCTACAACTAAAATTTTTCCATCATTCTTCTGTTCCAGGCTGCAGTCAGAGGTCTGACTTTTGCTGGAGTCAATGTTGTCTCACTGACAGACTACACACCTATTTCCTGGAACCCACCAAGACCTCGAAAGCAAAGAAGACTTTAAGTGGTTTAAGACTGGTCTTTTATATTTTAGCGTGAAAGTGTTAACTTGTTAGTGTTATGTGAGATTGTGTTAAGACGTCGACATTGAAACTGCAGCTGTCACCTTCATGATGCACTCGGTAAGTTTTTTATCGACTGCAGCCTAGTCAAGACCTTTACGTATCGTAAACTGGGCACTGGGGCAGTGGCCCCGGTCATTTGTTGATTTGGCTTGGCCGAAGCAATCTTACCATAGCTGAAGTCGCAAATTCTTTAGAATTTGGTGGTATTCCTGTCCCTTGGCCAATCATAGCTTCTTAGGAATAACAGTACTGTTCTGTATTCCTATTTGATGCCAGTTAAATGGCGTTACGCAATTTAAAATTTGCATTTTTGTAAGGCAGTCACATAGTTACTATCTATATGTGTATGCAAGGTAAATAAATTAAAACTTCATGAAATTGATTTTCCTTTAATGCGCATTCAAATGCGTCAGAGCGCGACAACGTCGGCTGTGACGTCACCGAGGACCCTTAGATTTGAAAGCGTCAAAAAACGCAAAGAGCGAAAAACTGGGTTAAGTGAAAGCCATTTTCACAATACTGATGCCTCAGATATTTGTACTGGAGAGTGGTGTCTAATAATGCCTACCACAAGCAGATAGAGCGCACTGAGCTTTACCTTCAAATGCGAATAACTCCCATTTGGATGTGAAAGCAGATATTAACCTTTCTGTGTGTGCACTGGATGGCGGTTGTCTCCCCCAGGTGCAAGGGTAGAGCCTTAAATTATTTGTCCTCTTTTAATGCCATACTTATTTTTCTTTAATATTACAACAAATCCGTACTTGCCTGTGGTGCTTGGTTTTTATTTAAAAATTTAATGTTGTTTCCATTTTGAGAAGAGTTTTGTTTTGCCCGGTTTTGAAAATAGCTTCTCTGATTAAAGTTTATACTATTTCTTAGGTTGGGCCTTTTTAAGTTGTATAGGAGATTCCATATCATGATATCTGCCCAGGTGTTAGTTCGAGATGATAACAATGTGCATTCACTGTAGTGCTCATCATCGTTTAACCAGCATGGATTTGTCTTGGTTTTTGTATGGGAGAAGGAAATCCTTTTTGCCATCGATGAAGTAATTATTTTCTGTAAACCTTTATAGAGTGCTGCAAGACTTCAACATTAAAGCCTGACTTCAGCGGACTTAAGACTTCAAATATTATTACATCAGTTCTTTTTTTTTTTAATTTTTATTATTTTGTACTCCAAAGTGAACTTACTTAAACATAATTCAATGCTAAAGGGCTGCTGTTGGAATATGCATTTTTTTGTGAAATGAGGCCATTGAAAATTGGTGTGGTCGCCTTACTCCCTGTAGACAGGCCTTTCTGTTGTTGAATTTGTGAACTGGCTGTGATTATACTGTACCTGATCCTGCATCAAGATGAAATCTAAGTATGCAGACTTTCTTAATAAAATATGTTTGTTTTTGAATTTACACGACGTATTGTTAATTAATTGAATTTAGAGTGAACTGAAACTGCAAAGGCTGGGTGTTTTTCGGAGTGACGTCCTCTTCCAGTGCCGCTTTTCAGGCCATGTGTGTTTTCTGTGACGTGGTGCTCGATGGAGTCCTTGGGCTGCGGTTGAATTTGGCGCGCGGCGCGGTGCGGCGTTGCCGATCTTTCTTCGACCTTTGTGTGTCCGAAGCAACGCCGCTCTGCCGAAGGCCCGAAGGGAAACGGAAGTGACGAGGTAGCTCATCAATTGCCTTGTTTGAAACGTATTTTCCGGGTGTGGGGGCCCTTGTCGAGTGCCGAAATGGCGGTTTTCCCGCTACATACGGCCCCGCTGAGCCGCTAAAAATGCTTTCCAGTCGGCGACTGCAAGTCCGGCTCGCAGTCGTATCGTCACGTCACGACGACGCACGACGCGCGGGGAATGCTGGGAGCAAAGAGGAGGAACAGCCAAGATGGCGGACGTAGTGGACTAGCGATGTGCCCTTCGTCGGTCTTACCCCAATTTCGTCTTGAGAACCGAATATAACAAGTGTTGTATTGGTTCGCGGTATTCCTCAAGTGTTTACTTTGAGATTCATTGTTTTCATCAGTGGTTTTTCATCTACAAATCTGGAATTAGCGGCAACCTTGTGGGTTACCCGACGAGCACGAGAAGCTCCTCACAAAATGGCAGCAAGAACCCTGCGTTCAGTGAAAGTGTGAATTTTAAGCCGAACTTTGGTTCCTATCAGCTGTTTTATAAACACTGCTGCTGTTTTATCGGCTCCCTCTCTAATGTTGTTCGCTTGAGAACAATTTCTTGACTCAATACGGGCATCGTGGGCACTGCCACAGAAAATATCTGGAACAATGCATCAGGTAAGGTTGTTGGACCAGTACTTCAAACTTAACAAATTCTGCCTTGAACTTTGAATCCAGCCCCCAAGTTTTTTCTTTTCTTGTTAGGGACGTTAGTAGCCTTCATTTTTACCCTTATGCTTGTCATATGGTCGGCGTACTTTCCCAATGCTCTGCATTTTACTGAGTATAGGTTAGGTCGTGAGTACTTGTTTGGCATTGTTTTTATCAAAATTTAAACCTTTTTCACTCAAATTTTACGTAAATTATGTTTTTGGCTGCCTTACCTCGCAGCAGACCTCATCCTTACCCATTGTTAACTCAGGCTAAGATGTTGCACTTAGCTTATTTCCTTGCATTTCTCTCATGATTTGGTTTGTTTACATGGCTAAAATGTTCCTAAACAATGCATTATAATGAGTGTTCCATGTATATTTCGTGGTTGCACCCTAGTTTCAGTCTTTACCTTCAACCCTATGTAGTTTTTATGACATTTGGCGATGGACCCATTTTTGCTATTTTGCCTTGAAGTTCAGCTTACTTTTGGAGTTCCTGGGAGATCTCCTTCACCTTGCTCTCTGTAGTGCCAATTTTCTACATTTATGCAGCCCTATGGCTTCTTTTAACTCTGTGTCACTGTAAATTTGTTCATGTCTCGTGTCGTGTTTTACTGCGACAGATGATCTTTCTCAGGGTGCTACTTTGACTGTTTCTGAATGGGAAGGTCCTTTGTTTTGATCTTATATCGCTTCTCCTTTACATTTAAATCAAGTACTCTTATGTTTCAACCTGTGGAATAAAGCTTATGATCATAGTTAGCTGACTATAGTTTAGAATCCTGGGAGTTCCTTAACTGTACGCCCGACGAGCTTCGTTTGATACCTACGCCGTTGATATTTGTGCTGGCTGATGTAAGCTTGCACCAACATCTTTTACGTCTATATTCCCTAATATTTGAAGTATTCTCAAGGCTCATTTCATCAAGGCTCAAGGCATAATTTGGTTCCGTGTCATGTTAGTAATACGCATTCGCAGAGGAACATCTGTGTTTGTGAATGTTGCATCCTTTAAGATGCTCAGCTTTTGCAGTTTCAAACCCTTGATCCTTATCCACACTCTTACAACACCACCATACAAACTCAGACATGAAAGTGTCATTTCAATAAAAACCAATTTGTCTTTTGTTACTATTATTCCTAATATGTTTTGCAATGTTTACTGTCAATCGATATTACCACATCACCTGTAAGGAAATTCATCCAATTCTCAAAATATCTCCCCTCACTTACTCTCGAAGATTAAGCTACTTAACTGGAACAACTACATGCTGCCAATATTGTTCATATTCTAGTTTGATCCAATACTACACATTATATATTTCAATAGGTTTTGGCTGCAGATGGTTCAGAATCAGATTCTGAGAAAAATTCATCAGCTTCTGACAATGAGTCCAACTCGTCCTCAGCTGCATCAGGATCCGAAAGGTAGGTTCTTCTCTTTCAGTTGCTGTGATACATAGGTCTTACGTTTAAGTTGAAGGCCCACAGTCCATGAGGAAAGCCTGCAGTCTATCAGCTCTTGTTTATGCCACCACTTAACAAGTATTAGGCAGTCCTGTTTTTCTCTGGCACTGATAATTGACTCTGTCTTAATGACAGTTTGTTGTGTATCCAACTTGAAGGGTACTCAGCTAACAGCCCCATTCAAAATTAACCCTGTCAGGCAACTTTATGTGTATGTAGAGAATTCTGATGGTTGGTTGCCATTTCCCAATTGATGAAGTACTGTTAGACCAACAATGGGACCAACTGCACAGCTTGATGAATTAGAATGTGTCTTGAAATGTGACACTGATGTTGCTACTTAAGAATGAGGCAGTGGAAATGAACACTGGACCATATCCCACATATCTGTGGATATTTGGTGTTATTGACAGGCACTAGTAATGTGTGCACAATGTTCTCGACAGCCCATTATCCCCCATTTCTCATTACTAAATCGTTAGGGCTGCTTCTGTGCTCTGAGCAAATGCTTAGAATGGGTGTGGTTGAGTTGATTGTAAACACTCATGGGGACGACTGATTGCGAGTTACTTTTGTCTCCGTAGCGAGTCTATCTACATCAATGATTTTTAAGATTGTGTTGAGACCATTTCTCAAGAACTGATATTTCTGAATAAAAAGGCTTAGTTCATGTTCCTGCACATGCTGATTCTCTCTTTGGTTTCAATCTTGGCATCACGTGCTTGCTATTTAAATGTGGCCCTAGGCTGGGCTACAGCAGCTCTTTTAAAGAGAACAATGATTACAATATGTATCATCTTTAGAGGATATTCCTATTTTCCTCAGCCTACTAGCTCAAGGTCATTTTAGGTCACGTTAAAGCAGCAGATAGCTCCATGAACTCCGTTGCTCTCAGCCGCACTCCTTTCAAATAGCATCATTTCAGACTAGATTTTAAAGCTAGGCCCCCTATTTTCTTTACTTATTATTGTTTGGGTTTAATTATCATTTATATAAAAGACTGGGCTTACATAACCTTTCAAGAGTGTTAAATCCAATTAACAGTGCTAGGTCTGACAAGGCAGCTATGTCGTGTAGAGCTGTTCATGATTTTCATTGTATGCCACCGTCCATTTATCAGATTTCTCTCTTTCTTTTACTTAAAATTGTAACTTTGCGGTTTTTTTATAACCTACTTGAACATACTTGGGTTTTGTTTAGATAAAATTGGAAATTTCCAGCTATTTTACTGTACCCTCATCTCTAATGAGTTCCATCTAAATGACAACCTCCTCAAGTATGATCTTTATCTATTTTCTCTTTGAATTGTTTCATTTAGTGATTCTGGGTCTGGCAGCTCATCTTCCAAGTCGGCGTCTGGCAGCGGCTCTGACTCTGAGGGCAGTCAAGATGAGCTCAACAAATCTCGTTCATCGGCACAAAAGTCGTATTCAGAGAAGTCGTCACCGGCTAAGTCAACTCCAGAGAAAATGCGGCCTAGCTCTAGGTCTAGGGACAGGATTGATCTAAAACAGGTAAAGAAGAATCGAGATAAATCTTCATCCCGGGCAACAGCAGAGGTAGGAGTCCTCGAAAGTTGGAGGTGCTACAAGCTCTTGCTCCAGTCGTTGTGAATTACTGGACATGTCAGTTCATCAATAAAAATTTGGCTGAGTACAGTATAAGTGTACTTCTGATTTTAGACTTAAAATAGATAACATTTTCTTGTACCACTGTCTCAGTTAGAGATAATCTATGGTACAAAAGTTTAAATTTACAGTGGATTTTCCGTACACAACTGACTGTAGCAACAATGATGAGCACCTTTCAGCTTGTTTGGGAGTGTGTGCACCTACCCGCTTGGACTCTTCTGCCGCCTGTCTTTGATTGTGTCGGTGTTGGTGATTTGCCTTTGGTCTGCTTTGCTTCCTTGTGAACAAGGACTGTAAAATTGTACATGTCAGCTTTTGCTGTCATCCAAAGCAGTTTAGGGTTCATGGGAACATGTGAAGCATAGGGCCATGATTTTTTATTTGTTCCTTAGCAATTATCACTAAGATGTCCTTTGATTAGAACAATTTTGTTCTGTAAGATACTTTGTCAATATGTCAATTTCGAAATTTTGAGTTCTCATTGCGTATCGTGTATGTAACTTCAATAGCTATTGTTTTGTGAATCACTTAAAAAGAAATATTCATAATTTTGCCAATTAATCAGTCTTTATTAGCACAGTCCACAACCTGTGATCATGTGCATGCACAAGATTCCTTGCTTACAGTGCACTGAAATGCTTTATTGCTTGTGGTGCTGTTCAATTGGAATGTTGCACTTATAAGGTGACTGTCTGTTTGCTTGATTTTTGAGAAGGAGGCCAAATTCTCAATATTCAAGATCATAGGCCATTTCCCTCCCAATATTATATCTGATCGTATTTCAATTGTGACATCAGCTGGAGTGTTTGTCGGAATTCTCAAACTATAACAATTAATACTTTTCTTTTTTCATATTTCTTTTTAGTGTTGGGAAAAAGACCCCGACGTGTATGGTATCAGACGGTCTGGTCGTTCCAGAAAAGAGCCAGAGCGTCTCAGAGTGAACGAAAGTGACTCTGGAGAGAAGGTTCGTTCCAAACGAAGTTCCAGAGGTTCCAGGAGGTCAGCATTGATTAACATTCATCATCTGCCACATGACTACCCTTAATTTATTTTTGCATCATTCATTTACATTTGTTTGGTTTCCATCGCAGCCAATGGAATTCTGACTCTGAATCAGATTCTCAGGATTCATATGATGAACGGCCACCACCTAGTAAATCAGTACAACAACGAAATCGTAATATTGCAGCAAGGCGCCCAATTGCTAAACCTAGCGCACATTCTTCGTCAAGAAGAGATGACAAAAAGACACAAAAAAGACGAAGAGGAAGTGATTCCTCTGACGAATCTAGTTTGGATAGTGAAAATGGGGGTACTAACAGGTGAGAATCGTTTTAAGCACAGTTGCTAACTAACCTACAGCTTTCATAAGAGCATTCCGGTTTCCAAACACCTGTGCCAAAAGGTCCTTGCCCCTCTGCTTGTTCAGTGAAAATTGAAATCACGCCACCTGTACATACATGCACATTGCTGTGGTGATAGTGTTTCTGCTCTTTACTCTCACAAATTTAGTTAGCCTGAATCCCTGTGTTGTACTGCTACTATTTTATATTTATTTTTTCTCTTTTTAAAAAAATTTAAGTTGTGATTTGTTGTTTTTTTCTTTGAAGTCTTTATTTTTAGTTCAGTTTTAGTTCTTGATTTTGTTTTTTAAAGTGACAAATCTGTGCAAAGCATGTACAACACAATGTGCAAAGGCTAGTGCCTTATGTCAATCTGCTTTTTTTTTAGAACTGTTGGTAACAGACAAACCATCATTGGTTCTCTCTTTGCTAGAGGTTCTCAGTTGCACTGTTTCTTGTTTTGTTGTCCTTTTTTTTTGTGCTCTTTTTACTTGTCTGCTTGTCACTGCTTTCTGTGTATTATGCTTTTGCGAACGAACTAACCCATGAGATTGGTAGGTTATATTCCAACGCCTACTACGATGATGACCCCTACAGACAAACATCACTTCGAACAAACAAGTCCGTCACCTACAAGGAGGCAAGTGAAGACGAGACTGGCTCTGAGGACCTCATGGACGTTGATGAGGAGGAGATGACAGCAGCTGCTGCTGCAGCTGAATCGGACAACGCCGAAACGATAGAGAAAGTTCTTGCTGCTCGCAGAGGGAAACGTGGAGGTAAAGTTGAGGCTTCACTTCGACCTGAGCTTATGCCCCAGTTTACCTGTCAACCTCACGTCATTTTTCTTGTCTTTATTTTCAGTTGTCGGGAATGTGACTACAATGTATGCCGTTGAAGAGAGTGGTGATCCCAACGAAGGATGTGACCCAAATGATTTAGCCAATACAGAAATGCAGTATTTAATTAAGTGGAAAAACTGGTCCCACATTCACAACACCTGGGAATCTGAACATTCTCTCAAAGAAAACAAGGTGTGAACAATAGCTCTCTTCCCTTCTGGATGTTGTGAAACTAAATAAAATTTTCTTATCATAATTTTGGTTTTATTCAGGTTAAAGGTTTGAAAAAATTGGAGAACTTTATCAAGAAAGAGGATGAAATTAATTTATGGCGTTCTCATTCAACTCGTGAAGACTTGGAATATTATGATTGCCAAATGGAATTGTCTCAAGAGTTATTGAAAAGTTATACCAGAGTTGAGCGCATTATTGGTTAGGCACATATTCATTTCTCTTGAACTTGTTCCATTAATTTTAGGTAGACTTATGAATTATATTTTTTTTCTTTAGCTGAAACACCCAAAACTGATGTACAATGGGACTACTATGTGAAGTGGGAGAGTTTACCGTACTCTGAAGCAACTTGGGAAGATGGAATACTCATTAGAGGCAGATGGCCTGAGAAGGTGAAAGAGTTCAGAGAAAGAGAAGAGTCCAAACGTTACCCTTCTAAGATGTGTAAGGTATTAAAGTACCGGCCGAAATTTATAAAAATTGAAAGCCAACCTTCTTACTTTGGAAGTCATCCCGACATGCTTCTCAGAGACTATCAGATGGATGGCTTAAACTGGTTAGTGGGCTCATGGACCAAAAACAACTCTGTGATCCTTGCTGATGAGATGGGTCTGGGTAAAACAATCCAAGTAAGTTCTTGTTATTATGTATCAAATTCTTAATAATGGTAATGTTAACCTTTATCCTTTTCAACTTATACACTTTGTTTTTACAGACAATTTGCACTCTTTATTACTTGTTTATGGAATACCATCTGTATGGTCCATTCCTTCTCGTTGTTCCTTTGTCAACCATGACTTCATGGCAGCGGGAATTCATGCAGTGGGCTCCAGACATGAATGTTGTCACTTATCTTGGTGATGTCCAATCCAGAAACATTGTAAGTTTCTAAAATGTTTCTTTCGCTTTGTTTTAAATGCACTACTGTATTTCGTGTACTGACGTCCCTTATCTTGTCCCATTTTTCAGATTAGAGATTATGAGTGGTTCTTTGCCGGCTCCAGGCGCCTGAAGCCTAACGCTGTACTTACCACGTATGAAATTGTATTGAAAGATAAAGCATTTCTTGGGAGCCAAAGCTGGGCAGGTTTGATGGTTGACGAAGCTCACCGCCTCAAAAATGATGACTCTTTGTTGTACAAAGCTCTTAAAGACTTTGATACTAATCATCGTCTCCTCATCACTGGAACCCCCCTGCAAAACAGCCTGAAAGAGCTGTGGGCTCTTCTGCATTTCATTATGCCGCACAAGTTTGAGTCTTGGGAGATGTTTGAACAGGAGCACGAGGACAGTGCAAAGAAGGGGTACACCAAGCTTCACAAACAACTGGAGCCATACATCATTCGACGTGTGAAGAAGGATGTAGAAAAGTCACTGCCAGCAAAGGTTAAAATAATCTCTTTTATTAGAACCTGAATGGCATTATATTTCTTTTTGTTTTGTATCAGTGGCCTAATTTTATTGGTTTTCCTTCAGGTGGAACAAATTCTCAGAGTTGAAATGACATCTGTTCAGAAACAGTACTACAAGTGGATTTTAACTAAGAATTACAATGCTCTTCGCAAAGGTGTGAAAGGCTCTTCAACTACTTTCCTTAACATTGTTATTGAGCTGAAAAAATGCTGTAATCATGCATTGCTCACAAAGCCCATAGATCCTGCTGAAAATACCTTCAAACCACCAGCAGAACATATTAAGGTAAGTCCATCAATTTTGTACCTTATTGTCATAAAGGTGTAAACTTAATGCCGGTTTCTCTTCTGTTCAGGAACTGGTGCGAGGTTCTGGCAAACTTGTGCTGCTTGACAAGCTTCTTGTCAGGTTAAGAGAGACAGGCCACAGAGTCCTTATTTTCTCCCAGATGGTCAGGATGCTTGACATTCTGGCAGAGTACCTCCAGCTTAGACATTTCCCTTTCCAAAGACTTGATGGCAGTATCAAGGGTGAACTCCGCAAACAGGCGCTTGATCACTTTAATGCTGAAGGGTCCCAAGACTTCTGCTTCCTTTTGTCAACAAGGGCTGGTGGTCTTGGAATCAACCTTGCAACAGCTGACACAGTCATCATCTTTGACTCCGATTGGAATCCTCAAAATGACTTACAGGCTCAAGCTCGGGCTCACCGTATTGGTCAGAAAAATCAAGTCAACATTTATCGGCTTGTCACAAGGTCTTCAGTAGAGGAAGATATTGTAGAGAGGGCAAAAGAGAAAATGGTTCTTGACCATCTTGTCATTCAAAGAATGGACACTACAGGAAGAACGGTTTTGGACAAGAAATCAGCATCATCATCAACACCCTTTAACAAAGATGAACTCACTGCCATCCTCAAGTTTGGAGCGGAAAAGCTCTTTGAAAAGGAAGATGCTGACGATGATGAGGATGAGCCCACATGTGACATTGATGACATTTTGCGACGTGCTGAAACACGAGATGAAGCCCCCACCATGGCGGGTGATGAGCTTCTATCGGCTTTCAAGGTAGCTACTTTTGCCATAGATGAAGATGAAGGTCCTGAAAACCTGCCTAAAGCTGAGGAGGATGAGGAGAGTAAGGATTGGGATGACATCATCCCAGAGAATTTCCGGAAAAAGGTGGAGGAGGAGGAAAAAGCTAAGGAAATGGAAGATCTGTACTTGCCTCCTCGAAGCCGCAAAACACTCCAGCAACTGAATCAATCAGAAAGTGAAGGTAATTATACAGCTTTCAATGTCTTACTTAAGGAGGTTTTATTATTAGCGTTGCTAGGTAGAGTAACAATGTGGGTTGTGCAACAATGACAACAATTGAGTTGACCCAGCTTTTTTGTTATCCCTGTATTTTGTCTCTGAACTGAAGAATGTTTATGGTCAAATTAAAAATGGGTGGGTGTTCTTTGTGTCTTCTATGTTTGTTCATCTTTCATCTACCTGAATAGAATCTCAATTTTTTATCACTGCTATGAAATTTTTTGGTTATGCACTATGAAACTGTCTAACATGGTTTTGTTTTGTTCCTCTTTCTTCTGTCTTAACATTCAATAAAGGAGAAGGTAGCGGGCGGGGCCGCAAGCGTAGAAAAGCGGGTGAAGAGTCTGCCTCTAGTGAAGAGGAGAGCGATGAAGAAAGACCAAAGAAGAGAGGGCGCCCGTCAAGAAGAGAGAACATCAAGGGTTTCAATGATGCTGAGGTGAGTCTTCAAACAGTGTGGGGCCTCCCCAATGGTTGCACAAGATTTCCGATATAATTTGCATCTTTCTCTCTCTGACTTGTTTCTGTTCAGATTCGACGCTTTGTCAAGAGTTATAAGAAGTTTGCTGCTCCCCTGAAGCGATTAGAGGCCATAGCTGAAGATGCCGAACTCACAGACAAGTCGCAGAGTGACCTGAGAAAGCTGGCTGAAGTCTTGAGAGAGCGTTGCTTGCAAGCTGTGTCTGAAAACCAAGAAAATCAAGAGGGTGAGGACAACAAAGGTATCATAATTCTTGTCCACTGTCTTTTTGAAATGTAGCTTTCGAAAGTGTACACAGTATTTTATTTTTCAATTTCTGTTGTTTTTGAACAGGGTCGAAGCAGAAGGGCCGAGTTTCATTGAAACTCGGAAATGTTGCTGTGAATGCAAAGGCTGTTTTGTCCTGCGAGGAGGAAATGGCCCCCCTAGAAGATGCAATTCCAAGCGAACCAAATGAGCGTGCTAAATGGACTATAGACTTTAAGTAAGTTCTATTTTCAACTTGTGCACTCATTACAGTACTTCTGTTTTTGCCTGCTTTTGCTCAAATTTAACCAATCTTCTTTTCAACAGAACTAAGTTTGCCAACTTTGATTGTGACTGGGCGGCTGAAGACGACTCAGCTCTTCTCAAAGGAATACACCAATATGGCATGGGATCTTGGGAGGCCATTAAACTAGATTCCTCTCTTGGGCTTAGTGACAAAATTGTTCTTAATGAAGACAAGAAACCCCAAGGAAAGCATTTACAAACTCGTGCAGAGTATTTGCTAAGACTTCTTCGTAAATATAGTGATCAAAAGAAAGGAGTGGTAAGTTGAAGTTACAATCCAATGTACAGCATGTAATTTTTGTTCAGTGCAAGCTCTAAAAATTTGGATTTTTCTGTTTATGCAGGCGAAGCCTAAGCGGCAAAGGAAGGCAACAGTGAAAGCCTTAACCAAAGAAATAATTGAAAATGATGACTCTTCAGGAGAAGATAACACCAATAACTCAGCTGCAACAAGTCTCAATTCCAGTAGGAAAGGTTCCAAAAAGAGTTCAGAAGGAAAGAAATCGGATGATGACGATGACCACAAGGATGCTGAAGATTTCAAAGAAACTAAGAAGGATAAAAAGAAGAAGGAACCAAAAGAAGGCAAAGACAAGAAAGAAAAGAAGAAGAAGAAAAAACAAGAAGGACCAATGCACTTCACAGCTAATAGCGAACCAGTTTCTCTTGACTTACTTGGTCACCTTGACCCCCAGATTTTCAAAGAGGTAAGGGTCTGATTCTGAAATACTGCCCTGTTTTATTTTTTTTATATCTTACTTACTTCATCTAAAAATATGTTTTGTTTCTTTTTTTGTTTTCTTTAGTGCAAAGAAAAAATGCGACCAGTCAAAAAGTCCCTTATTGCCCTTGACAATCCGGATACATCATTATCTGAGCAAGAACAGTTGAAGAAAACGAGGCAGTGTCTTATGCTCATAGGAGACAACATCAACAAGTGTCTAAGCGAGCTCAAAGATCCTGAAAAGGTTAAAGCATGGAGAAATTATCTATGGTATTTTGTATCCAAATTTACAGAGTTTGACGCTAAAAAGCTATTTAAGTTTTACTGCAAGTACACTGAGAAAAAGACTCATCATGATGAGAAGAAAGAGAAAAAGAAGGATAAAGATGAGAAGAAATATGATGTTGAGATAAAGAAAGAACCAAAAGAAGAAAAGGGAAGTAAAAGATCTCATGAGGATGACAGGGATGCTAGTTCAACGCCAGCTAAAAAAGTGTTTGACGGTGAAGTGAGGTGAGGGCTTGCACTCTTGGCTTTGTTATCGTTTGGCTGAACCCACCTTTAGCGTCAGCGTCAATTCGGTATGTTTTCTTTTGCAGAGTGAAGGAAGAAAAGCGTGAGAAAAAGAAGAAAGATAAGGATCGAGACAGAGACAGGGATCGAGAGCGACCGTCTTCTCGAGGTTCTTCGACGCCAAGGCCTGCTGGGCAAGTGGCAGAGCCCCCACATGGTGCTAACAACGATCGCTGGAGCTCTGGTGGCAATCAGAGAGACAGGTAAGCTTTGAAATGGCCAACGGATAGTTGAGTAATGTCATTTTGGGCTGGTTTATCATATTGCTACTTGTGCTTGCAGGTTTAGTGGTGACCACAAGAGGGATAGATTCGACTACCCCCGCGGCCAGTCGCAGCAAGGCTACCACAGAGAGAGGGAACGCGACAGAGGGGACAGGGAGAGGGACAGAGACAGGGAACGGCCACGAGAGAGAGACCGCGAGCGCGACCGGGACCGGGACAGAGACCGCCCTCGGGACAGGGAGCGGGACAGGGATCAGAGAAGGTGAGGGAAGCTGTGCGACGCACCAGGACGCCCTTGGCGCACTTGGCCTTGGACTAACGGCTTTGTTGACGTTTTAGATTCCACCACGGGGCGGCTCACGCGGCTCACGCGGCGCCCCTGCCCTACGGCGGCCCCGCGCACTACCCCGCGCCGGGTGGGCCGGGTGGCTACGGCGCCCCTCCAGGCATGGCGGGCATGCCGGGCATGTACCCGCAGAGCATGGCGGACATGTACAGAGGGGACCCCGGCCGAGACCCCGGCCGCTACCCGCCCGTCGGCGCGCCGGGCTACCGCGACTACGGCAGGGACTTTGACAGAAGACCTCCGACCAACCCGTCATAGTGGTCAAGTGACTGCTTTTTAGCAGTAGGTTGTGATAATTGACTTTTTTTCGCCTGTGTTGCCCGACTTTCAAGAGGAGTTCAAAGTGCTCAAGACGTTTGTCGACTACTCTCTGTCATTTTTAAGGCCTGCCTCAGGCAAGGACCTAAGTGAATGTGCCACTTGTGTGTTAGGTTTTTTCCTTGCTTTTTTTTACCGAGCTAAGTTGGTCGAGAAGAAACTTGTGCCTCTCTTTGTCTCTTTTTGAAGTTTCTCACGTGTTTCCTGAAAACTTTTTTGGCGTGACTAAGTTTTAAGGTGTGTGTTACAATGAATTTGACTGTTTACCATTTACATGTGTAAGTTGACATTCATTTATGATGGATGGATTAGCAGATGATCTTCATCTCTGTCATTGTGTGATCTACCTATAAAATGTGCTGTAGGATGTGGTGTTTATCTATTTCAAATTCCAAAATGTGAAGTGCTCACATGCCTCAGAGGAACCTTTTATTTATATATATGCAATCATACCAATGAAGAAAATCATTTATTATTTTCCATACCAGTGCTTTTTGTTGTGAGTAATGCAAGTTCTTGGAATCATTTCATTATTTTGTTGTTTTATTATAATTTCATTTGTTATTATAAAGTAGCTTTGGAGCAAATTTGAACTGATAGGCTTTATAGTGATTATTTTTAATTTATTATAGGTTTTCTAAAGTTATAAAAACTGTAGCTCTCAAAGGCCTCCACATTTTGTGGTCTGCAGCAGCCAAGTAACTTATTTTTGTAATGTATTCGCTTGTCACAACTGTGGATTGGCGCCTACTGTGATCAGTTAAGCTAATAATCCCCTTTGGACTTAAACCCTGTCAAGTTTGCAAAGTCACCACAAATTTGAAAGGTGGATAACCCTTCAACACTGGTGGTATTAATCAGTGCTATCAACTATGTCAAAACATAGGCTACTGCTGTATATGCTTCTTTTGCGTCACTTAGCTGTAGAAGTTTCAGGTTAAATCATGGGAACGGCCCACCATCAGTCTGTATTGTACTCTGTAGGATTGATCCTTTCATCCTGTCTAAACTTTTATGTAAATTGATCATATCTTCTGTATGCTAATTAAATGGCAATCGCAGCTGTGGAGTCTAGGTGACATTTTTGCTTTGAGAAAGGCTTCAGTCTAGTCTTTCTTGATACCAGTGCAGGTCCGCTGGTGCTTATCAGATGAATGGGTTTTTAATTTCACTGTATTATGCTTATCTGGTCATTGCATTCTTCTGTCTCTTTAACATTTCATTAATTATTGTGGGAAGGATTTTTTGATCACTGGTGCCACCTTTTCTGCATGCTACTTTGTTTTGAGCATGCCACTTTATTTAACAAAAATTATGATTGTCTTGAAGTCCGTTCACTTAGGCCAAATAATCTAATAAAGCCAGTCTTTTGAGATTTTTTATATCACTAAATTTAAATTTTTTGAACTGTTTTGCTCCCACTTAGCACCCATTAGTATTTTGCTACTATGAAGCTATACAACCATTCTGGTATGGTATATCATCTTGGTGTACTTGATGGCTAGATTGAAATGTACCTTGAAGACTGGAACTGTTTTGTATACACCAGTAGGTGTAGTTATTTTACCACCTGAATTTTTAGAAGTTGATTCTTTAGAACTTATAAATGACTGTGAACTGAACTGTCTATAATAAATTAAAATAATGTATCTTAGATGGTTTTTCATCTTTCTGTGTTTGGTTATGAATGCGCTCCTTCTTTTATGGAATAAATAACCATTAATTTTCTTAGTGTTCTGTACACTTCCAAAAGTTTTCATGGAATATTCCCTTCCAGACTTTATTTTCTGACGTGATTAATGCCAGCAGTGCTCTCCGTAACATCACAAGTCTTAGTTTTCTCTTGAATTGTCATAGGACGAGATTAACTAGTTGGTTAAATCTGGCATCCTTCCACATGTGGCAGTACTTGTGCAATACAACAATGCCTTCCAAGTCAATGTATCTTGTATGAAAGTACTAGTACAGTACCTATCTGTGATTAAGATAATGGAGTTCATTGCAACAAGGGTATATTTTCCTCTGAATGTGGGCTTTTATTTCCATAGAGGAGAATGTACACCCTGTTGAAACTTTGACCTCAAATGAAGCAAAAATGCTCATTGCCCACCAATCAATTCTTCTTACTTATTTTATTTTACATTTTAGATCTTGAAGGCTACCATCTTCTAAGACATACCAACAAAGTTGGTGATTATCTAAGTTATTTTAATTACAGCATTTTTTTTTCTTGTATTTAATGAATCTGTTAACTATGTTGGAATTTATTGTATTGCAGTCGTTTGTACCATTATTTGAAGTTGTAAAGCGCTTTGAAGTGAACAAACCTTTTTTTTTTAATGAAAAAACATATAAATAAAGTGTTAGACATTTAACAGTGTCGTTGATTCGCATCCCCTCGTTCATTTCTTCTTCACTTTGGACCTGGTCTTGAAGATGGTCGGGTCCAGGTGGTTGTACGGCGCCTCGCTCCACTCGATGGAGTGCAGGGTGTGCACACTGGTGTCCGGCTGGACCAGCAGCAAGTGCGGGGCCACGAGGGTGAACATTTGCTGCAACCGGAGAACCGGAGCCAGTCATGCCTCATTGGTGGGCCAGTGTCGAAAGGGTTGTCACCCTCAGCCTTCCAACAAGGCAGCTTCAAGGGAGTCAAGCCCAGATTTTGCCTTGCCTAGTGAGCAGGCTGAGGGAGGCAACCCATTCGACAACCTAACCTAACCCGCACAAAAAGAAAGACAAGAGAAAATACGTTGCGCCTTGCCTCACCTCGGCCCAGGGCGTGAGGCCCATGGGAGTGCCCCGGAACTGCCACAGCGGCAGGCCCTGGTGCACCAGCATCATGCGGAAGTAGGTGGTGAAGTCCGGCGCCAGGAAGTGCCACTCGAAGCAGCGGTCCAGCAGCCAGATGCGGGGCTCCGGTCGCCGCGGCTCCAGCCCCTTGTCCAGGTACACCAGGCACACCTTGGCCATGCCCTGCGCAGTGGGCCAGAAGACCGGTGGAGGCGGACAAAACTCAAGACGCGTTTTGAGCTTCAGAGTCGCTGAATGCGACTCGAACCGAGCGTGTGACCTTACAAATGGGTTCCTCGTTCGGAGAGCAATCCACTGGTGGGGTCATGCAAGCTTGAAACCTACCTGACACGGGTCCAGTTCGAAAATCTTGCACTTGACGCCGAAGTTGGGCCGCTCGGCCGCGCTGGCCGCCACCACGGCCCCCGTGGCCGAGGCCGAGGCCGCCCCCGCCGTGCTGCAGATCTCCACGTCCAGCAGGGTGGGGCCGTCCGCGTCGCCCAGGGACTTGACGCCCGCCAGGCGGCGCAGCTCCGTGATGGCGTTGACGCGCATGTTGCCCAGGGGGATGACCTGGCCTGGGGCCGAAGCGGGCGGAAGCACAGTGACGTCATCACCCCGAAGGACTTCCCCCACGTTTCAAGTGCTATGATTTTTTAAAAAAAAATATGATCGGTAGTGTTTCCTGTGCAGGTAAACTATGGAAACTATGTACGTTCTGAAGGGCGTTGAGGGCGTTGACCTGCATGCTGGTAGTTCCAGGTGAGCTGGTAGCCGTCGGTGGAGAGGTAGAACTGCCTGAGGTCGTCGGGCAGCGCGCAGCAGTGCCGCTGTTCCCACGACGACAGCAGCAGCCTCTCGCAGGGCGTCCGCTTGTCCAGGCGGACGTCCTGGACCCCTGGAGTCTGCGCTGCGGAGGGAAAAAACGGTCGAAAAACGGAAAGGACGGAGGCCTGACTCATGCCCTTCAATGACTCACTCAGCAGCTTGATCAGCCCGAGCGTTAAGTTCTCGTAGAACGCGTCCTGGCAGGTGATGTCCACCATCTCGCGGGTGAGCCGTGCTTCGTTGCCATGGCGACGCGCCGCCCGGAGTTTCCGGCATCGAACCGCGGCGCCTCCAGTGTACCTGCACTGCTAGTCACTCTACCACACCCTACTCACAGTGTACCGGCAATCGAACGGCACGCGCATGCGCCTTGCCGAGCCTGGTCGAGGCATTAATCGCAATCGCAATCTCTCACACTAGGCAACTCGTCACACACGCCCGTCCCGCGGTTGCCTACTCGCCGGGCGCTGCCTTGACTTTTCTTTCAGGAGGCGGCTCATTTTGCTTTGCAAGACCAGCGGCGTGCTTCTGTGTTCTATTTGCCGCCACTTAGCTCTTCATACCGCACAGCGTGCATCCTCTCCTCGGCCTTGTCGTTTAGTCGTTTTCTCCGACAGCCGCGTGGCTCGACCGGCCGCTATGATAGAAATCGACACGGCGGCCACCTGTCTAGCCTGTCTGTCTCTGTCGCTCTCTGCGGATCGCGGATCGCGGCCCCAACTTGTCGCGCGTCTCCGGACTGAAAAGTAATGATGCATTTGAGGCGGTGTAGCAGTGTAGCAGCGGCCGTCGCTCTGTCTCTCTCTGTCTCTCTCGCACCGCTGCGGGACGCCGCACGAGTTGGACAGAGACAGAGCGAGACCCTCCGGAGCGGCCCGGCTGGAGGAAGACACTTGCTTGCACTACCGCACGAGCAGCGAGCAGTGAACATTTTTTTTTTTGCCCGCCGCGGCTCGTCGTTCTTGCCATATTAATCAAACTGGATCGAAAAGTCGGCGCGCGCCGGGCGGGGCGGAGCGGCGCGGCGACTGAAAGAAAGTGGTCGCCTTCCTCCCGCCTTGCCCGGCGTTGCCGCGAAAAGCGAGGAAAGGGGTCGCGGCAGTGCTGCCACAAAAGCGCGTCAAAATTCCCACGAGGCGCCAGTGCCAGTGTCGAAAGGGTTGCCACCTCAGCCTGCCTACTAGGCAACTGCTAGAGAGCCAACGCCCGTTGGCCGGGCTGAGGTTGGCAACCCTGGTGGACAGTGAGATTGGCCGATTAATCGATGACGCTCATCGATCGAGCGCGGGTTCCTCCGTTACAATGCCTAACGGCGTTGGCTGCAGATTTTAACGCACCCTGGTAACCCTCCTTCTTGCCATCCGCTCGGCGGAGGCTGCCCTCGTCCCCTCCCTTTCCCTTCCCCGCGGTTCGTCCGGCGCGGCGGCGGCGCGTCCGGGCGGGGCGGGGCGGGGCGGGGCGGCAGGCAGCCAGTGCCTCTCTGGAAGCGGTCCGGGGAAGACGTGTTCGGAAGGGCCTACCGCAGCGAGGCCTGCGCGACCGGACGTCGCGAACTGACCGAGTGACCGGCGCGGGAGAGACACGCGTAGTCTGGCGTACTCGCCGACAGTGTAGTGGTGTGTGGGGCCGGCAGTGCACAAGGATTAACCTTCCCCCGTGGCTTCGGCTGCGCTTCCAGTGGAGGCCACTTTTAACCCCGAGTTGTCCAGGTGAGAGGGAGAACACCGATTCACCGGCCACCGCGACCACTTACCGGCAGCCGATACTCTCTCTCCTCCGCATTTTGTTCTGTGACCCAGGGGACATTTGGTACACGGAGGAGTGTCCTTCTTTCTCTAACCCGCGAGGCAAGGCGGTGTGGACAGTCTGGGGTGGCCAGTGTGGTGCCGCCGAGTCGCCGAGCTCCGAGGAAGCGAGGAAGTAGCCGCCGGCGCGGCTTGTTAGTGGCCAGCATTATTGGGGCGTGCATTTACGGCCTTGTGGTTCTTACGGAAGGAAAATGGTGCGTGCGTCCACTGAAAAATCTTGTCGTAATTTTACGACAAATTTGGACACGAATGGCGTGCCGGGTACGCACTCCGCGAGGGCTTATCACCTGTCGCGGGGCGCGGCGCGGCGGGGATGCCCCCGGTGCGGGTACCGGCAAGCTGCAAGACTCACTCCGAGAGTGGTTCTCGTCGCTCTGTCTCTCTCGCACCTGTACGGGATGCCACTTGGGTGCGAGAGAGACAGAGCTGGACCGCGCTGCGGGGTCGCGGCGGTCGCGGCCAGCGCATACACCATGCACCACTTTCCCATCGATATCTCGACCGGTGAGCGCCGCGGCTTCGGAGCTTCGGCACTGTACTTTCTAGCTTCGCTGAATCTTCGCTGAACAGCCTCGCTGAATAATCCTAGCCAAACCCTCGCGGAATCGCCGAGCCGGGGGCCGGGTTGTGCTGCCGATAGTTGGCATTGAAATCGATATCGACACGAGTGGTCGCGCAGTTTCGCCAACCAGTAAGCGCCGCCCAGAAATACAATGACAGCCACGCCGGTTCTGCAGACTCGTCGCTCTGTCTCTCTCGCACTCATGGGCCGCCCCGTGTGGGTGCGAGAGAGACAGAGCGACGACTCTAGGGATGCGGAATGGTCTCGCATTTCGGACCGGGCCTCGGACCGCGAGTCATCGATACCCTGGGCAGTACACTGCGAACGCGCCGCGCCTTGGCTGCGTCGGCCGCGGTACAACAGTACAACAGTGCGACGGCAGGTGCGTTTTGTTTTGCACCGGGGTCGAATTGCACTGCGGGGACCCTGCCCAAAACTAAGAGAGGGGAGTGACGCGTTCCGTCCACCCATCCATCCATCCATCCATCCATCCATCCATCCATCCATCCGCACTCATTCAGTTTCCCGCGCTTCTGAATCACTGCGCTCCGCGCCGCTCTGCACTGGCCGGCCGAAACAACTACTTCCTCATGCAGTGGCGGCAGCCGCCCCTCTCTCCGTTTGTCTATTGAAATTGCCGCTCCTTCTTCATCATTTATGACAGGCCGGCTCGGGTGCGGGTGCGAGCGAGACGGGGCGGTGCGCGCTTCCGCCCGCATCAAGTGCGGCCGAAGCGCGCGCTTTTCGACGCTCTGTCTCTCTCGCACTCACGGCGCGGCCCGTGCGGGTGCGAGAGAGACAGAGCGACGAACGGCGCGCTTCAGCCAGCAGTGCAGTGCCTGTCCCTTCTCCGTAATTACATAAAGCAGTGCGTTTGGCGCGGCGGCGCGACTGCCGTCGCCTTCTATAAACGCGCCGAACGCGCCGAACGCGCACGCCGATGCGCCACTGTATAATTTTTATGTAATTGGCGTGCGGTTTGCCGTTGCATGTTGCGACAGCGGCAGCCGCACTGGAAAAAGGCAGCGCGCAGTGGGCCAGAAGATCGGTGGTGGCGGCCAAAACGCTAGACGCGTTTTGAGCTCCAGAGTCGCTGAATGGGACTCGAACCGAACCCCACCAACGGATTCCTCGTTCGGAGAGCAATCCATTGGTGGGGTCACACGTTCTGTTCAAGTCCTGTTTAGCGACTCTGGAGCTCAAAACGCGTCCGGGGTTTTGACCGGCTCCACCGTATTACAACGGTTGTTGGTGTTTAGTTTTCCCTGCGAGGGCCAGGCCCCCGCAGGCTAGGGCATTGAATGCACGCGGGCGTCGTTTGCAATGTAAACTGGACTGCCGGTCCCGTTGGCTTGGCTGCAGTTGGCTGCCGTTTGCCCGGGGAGTCATACACAGTCATTGGTCCCCTTTGGTCCCCTTGGTCGCCTTTGGTCGCACCGCGGCCGGCCAACAAACAGTGGCGATTACGATCTGCTCGATCTGCTGAGCGCGGAACTGCTTTGGAACGGTTCCCGCGAGTCGTCGCTTTGTCTCTCTCGCACCCACGCGGGACGGCCCGCGAGTGCGAGAGAGACAGAGCGACGGCAAAAACAAGGGCAGAAAATGGACCGCGGCGAACGGCGCGTAAACTGCCGACGACTACTGCAGAGAGAGAGAAAAAGGGTTAAGTACTGCTGTGAGAAGGGCTGCCGCCGCCGCTGGAAGCGCGTGGTTCATGTTTCGAAAAAGGAAGGTGAGCCTTGTGGGATAGTTTCTTGGTCTTTGGGTGTTAGAACGCGGGGTTCTGACCTGAAAAACGGATGCCTTTACCCCCGCGGCTGAAGCGCCTTGATGAGAGACAGAGTCATCAGGTCATTGACGCCGGCGGCGGTCTCTCGCTCTCCCTCTCTCTCCCACCAAGGCCCGTCTATGCCGTTCCGTCTGCACTTGGGTGGCTGCCTTGCAATTGCCTGCCACGCCGCGTCTTTGGGACGGAGACCCGCAGAGACTGCAATGCGCGGCGGGGCGCGGCGCGCAGCGCCAAAATTCCAGACGCGTTTTGAGCACCAGCGTCGCTAAATGGGACTCGAACCGAACGTGTGACCCCACTAATGGATTGCTCTCCGAACGAGGAATCCATTGGTGGGGTCACACGTTCGGTTCGAGTCCCATTGAGCGACTCTGGAGCTCAAAACGCGTCTAGAGCTTTGGCCGCCTCCACCGGTCTTCTGGCGAATCCACTGAGAAGGCGGCCGAGTTAGTCGGACCTTTGGCCGCCCTTTGAGTGGGCCAGGACCTTGCCAGGGCCGGGGCAGGCAGCTTGACGCCTCACGCGACGCCTTCTCTGCCGCCGCTCGGCCTCGCGGGCGGCTGGAAGTGCGAGCGAGAGGGTCGTCCGCTGGCGTCCGCCCTCCGCTTCCCCCAGACGGAGGATGCGTTGCAGCAGCGTGCCGCCCGTGCGTGTCCTAGGGCGCCGCGCCGTCAAGGCGCTCCTGGAGGTCGTCCTGGACGCCGTCCTGGACGCCGCGCCGCCCTGCTGCATGCCTGATGCATGCCCGCTGCGTGGCGGAGCGTTCTTCCTCCGCTGGAAGGTCTGGATGCCTGGAAGGGTGCTCTGTCTCTCTCGCACTCGTGGGACGGCCCGCAAGGGTGCGAGAGAGACAGCGCGACAGTGTGCTGCACGGGTCCCTCGCGTGCGCGGCGGCGTCCCCTGCGCGGTGGTTCCGAACACTCGTGCGGGACGCTCCATGAGTGCGAGAGGGAGGGAGAAACGCCCCACTTGGAACCAGTGTGGTGGGCAGCAGGCGTTGATGGTGATATTGAATTTTATGCAGGTGAGCGAGAGAGTGGAATGAGACTGGAGTCTCCGGAATGAGCACTGGAGTCTCCAGTAGGCCCGCCCCTTCCGACCGCGACGGCACCGCCTGCCTATGAGCATTTTACCATAAACGCTTGCGGCGGCGCGGCTGGATGCACACTGTTGTTGCATGCCCATGTGGGACAGCGGGGTGCTGGAGCATTGCTGGAGCTGCACTGGAGTCGCTGGACAAGGTTTCTCCGTCTCTCTCGCACGGCGTAGCCAGGGCGGGGCCGGCCGGCCAGTCCTACTGGTTGGGCGCTTCTCTTTGGAAAGGGGAAGGGGGGGGGGAGACCCGTCCGCGATTGAACCGGAGCAATCAAGGTTGCCAACCCAACCCGACCGGAGCTGCCAACTGCGTAGGTGAAACTAAGCGGGGCGTTAACGAATGCACGGCCTTCGCGCGACGCCTTGCGACGCGCGGTGGATTTGCCAGAAGGCCGGCGCCGGCGGCCGAAACTCTGGACGCGTTTTGAGCTCCAGAGTCGCTAAATGGGACTCGAACCGAACGTGTGACCCCACCAATGGATTGCTCCTTCGGAGAGCAATCCATTCGGAGAGCAATCCATTGGTGGGGTCACACGCTCGGCTCGAGCCCCATTTAGCGACTCTGGAGCTCAAAACGCGTCCGGGGTTTTGGCCGCCTCCGCCGGGTCTTCTGGCCCACTGTGCGACTCGCCAGCGCCTCGCTGGACTTTATGGCTTAACGAGCCAGCCGATGGGATCAAACGGAACCGAACCAGGCCAGTCGGGCCCGGCACGGCATATCCGCACTTTCCTTCTCGGAGCGAAAACGCAAACCCGGCGAGAGAGTCGCGTTCAATCCGCGTTAACGGTCGCAGGGGAGAGACTGACCGGCAGGACTTGTCATCCACCGTCCGACTGTTTGTCCGTCCGTCTGTCTGTGTCCAATCTGCAAGCCAGTTTGTCTCATGTCAGTCAGTCAGTCGGTTAGTCAAACTCGTCCACTTGTCTGCGCATGGCAGCCCGAACGAGCAATCCATTGGTGGGGTCACACGTTCGGTTCGAGTCTCATGTAGCGACTCTGGAGCTCAACACGCGTCTAGAGTTTTGGCCACCGGCGGCGGCGGCGGTCTTCTGGCAAATCCACTGTGGACATGGGGAATGGAGTCAGTAATCCGGGCTGCGGTTTGTGCGCGCGGCGCGCCACTCACTAATATTTACGTAACGGTCCGTTAGGGCCTTTACGGTGGACTGCCTTGACGGCAGCGGCTGGGCCGGCGGGGCCGGGCGGGGAGGGGCCAACGTATCCTGGACCAAGTCCTTTACCACGCGGACAGTAACGGGACCCCACTGGAAGGGGGAAATAGCATGACCCAGGCCTAGCCCGGCCTAGCCTGGCCTAGCCTGGCCTAGCCCACTGCCGCACGCGGCACGCGGCACGCCACGCCACGGCCCCAGACACCTGTTACCCTTCCCTTTCTCGTTGTCCTGCCGCGTCCTCGATACTCGCCCTGCCGATCCCTGCCGCTCTTCTCGGTC